ATTGTACTCTGGCCTGGGCAAGAAGAGCGAAACTCCAGCTCAAGAAAAAAAAAAAAAAAAATCATCAATCTGCTAGTGTCACCTACTGGTGAAAATTGGCTACTGCTGTAGAAACAATTCTATCCATTTCTTAGTGCTCTTGAATTTTAATGGTTATATATATAACAAGTGTTCTGTAGGGTTAGTAAACAACAAAAATTCAACAAAATAGAAAAAGTATTAATATGTATGTAATATATAAATTTCATGTGAAGAAGAAATATCAGAAAAGAAAAAAACAACCTTTATGTTTACATATCCATAAGCCTCAACTGAAAACTAAAATGTTTTGATTTACGAAAATAAAAGTTAAATGAAGGCAAATGGAAGTATGTGGAAAAGGTGCTTTATATGATAATGTCTCAAAATTTCTCATATAATCCAATATTTTAAGTAAAAGCAATAAATCAAATGTACAGCTTTTTATGCAAAAATAGCATCTATTCAGGCCAGGTGCAGTGGCTCACGCCTGTAATCCCAGCACTTTGGGAGGCCGAGGCAGGTGAATCACAAGGTCAGGAGTTCGAGACCAGCCTGGCCAACATGGTGAAATCCCATCTCTACTAAAAATACAAAAATTAGCCAGATGTGGTGGCAGGCACCTGTAATCCCAGTTACTTGGGAGGCTGAGGCAGAACTGCTTGAACCTGGGAGGCAGAGGTTGCAGTAAGCCAAGACCACACCATTGCACTACAGCCTGGGCAACAGAGTGACGCTCTGACTTGAAAAAAAAAAATAGCATCTATTCATTTTTGTTGTTAACCATACCCCAAAGTCTCTCATTAATAGCGTTGAATTCAGGATCTCATGATACTTCATGTTCTCAAATGCCTTTTTATTTCCCTGCACAGTAACCTCTGAACTATGACTCAGTTTTATATCAGCTGCAATAAAATCTGCTAGAGGAAGGGTTGGTCTATCGATAGGGATCTTTCAGTTCTACCTTACAGTCAACTATTGACAAATCTTTCCTTATTTATTCTTTGGACAATTTTTCTTTGCCCCAAGATTTAATTTTATAAATAAAAAATTATACAGTAGCTGTTTATTTTTATTTTTTTTTCTAAATCCTGTAAGACTCAAAAGAGAATGAGTAAAGCATTCTGGCAATCAGTCTATTATCAATCTATTTTTAGCAAGTAATCATAAATTTTCCATCTGCTGTGTAGAACACCAAGTTAGATCCTGGCATGGGATTTGAGAGGTGCGAGGTACTCCTTTCCTTCTTCCTTCCTTCTCCTACTCCTCCTTTCTTCTTCCTAGAAAGGCATATAAATTTTATTAACATATATACAGGGAGAACCACAGAGTGATTACCCACTTCTTTCTAGTTTTGGAAGTTTTTCTTCTGAAATGCTTTCAGGCTCAAAAGTTACAAGAAGAATACAAAGAACTCCAGTATACTCTTCATTCAAATTGGCTTTATTAGATTATCTTGATAGATAGGTGAACAGATAGATAGAGATGGTATACATGTTACATATATACATATATATAAAGCTTATATATATAATATAAAAAGAGTTTCTTGTAACCATTGAAGAATAAGTTCAGATGTGCTGCCCATTTACCTTTAAATACTTCGGTGTGCTTTCCTCTAGAAAAAGGACATTCTCTTAGTGTGATAACGGTACTGTTTTCACATTCAGAAAATTCACATTGGTACAATACCATTTTCTTATTTTCAGTCCTTGTTAAAATTTCACTAATTGTCTAAAGAATTTTTTTTTTTTTTTTTTTGAGACGGAGTTTCGCTCTTGTTACCCAGGCTGGAGCGCAATGGCGTGATCTCGGCTCACCGCAACCTCCGCCTCCCGGGTTCAGGCAATTCTCCTGCCTCAGCCTCCTGAGTAGCTGGGATTACAGGCACGTGCCACCATGCCCAGCTAATTTTTTGTATTTTTAGTAGAGACGGGGTTTCACCATGTTGACCAGGATGGTCTCGATCTCTCGACCTCGTGATCCACCCGCCTCGGCCTCCCAAAGTGCTGGGATTACAAGCTTGAGCCACCGCGCCCGGCCTGTCTAAAGAATTTTTATAGCAGAAAACAATTTTTCTGGTACAGGCTCCAAATTGTTAGGCTCATATATCACATTTAGTTATCATGATCCTTGGGTCTCCTTTAACCTGTAACTGTTCCTCAACTGTTTCACAACCCTGACATTTTTTTTTTTAAAGTATACCAGCTAGTTACTTTGTAGAATGTCTCTCAATTTGGTTTGTCTAATGTTTCCTTGTGATTAGATTTAGGTATGTGAATCTTTTCCACATTTTTTCATTTTGGGCATGCATTTTTCGCAGGAATATCACAGAAGCAATGCTGTTTCTTTTCAGTGAATCATATCATTTCTCTCTCTCCCTCTCTCTCTCTCTCTCTCTCTCTCTCTCTCTCTCTCTCTCTGCGTGTGTGTGTGTGTGTGTGTGTGTGTGTGTGTGTGTGTGTGACAGGCTCTGGCTCTGTCTGGTGGCTGGAGTGCAGGGCTCACTGCAAATTCCATCTCCCAGGCTCAAGTGATCCTCCCACCTCACCTTCTTTGAGTAGCCAGGAACACAGGCATGACACCACACCTGGCTAGTTTTTGTATTTTGTGTAGAGACAGGGTTTCACCATGTTGCCCAGGCTGGTGATGAACTGAGCTCAAACTATCTGCCTGCCTTGACCTCCCGAAGTGCTGGGATTACAGGTGTGCCCAACTGCTATAAATGTCTTATGACCATGGGTGGTGACTGGCAAGAAATGTGCCTTGCTAGTTTTAAGATGGAGTTGATTTTTTAAAACAGTGTCAGCTGGGCGCAGTGGCTCATGCCTGTAATCCCAGCTCTTTGGGAGGCCGAGATGGGTGGATCACGAGGTCAGGAGTTCAAGACCAGCCTGGCCAAGATGGTGAAACCCCATCTTGAAAAAAAAAAAATAGTGTCACCCTGGCTCTCCTAGGTTCCTGTTTCCCAATTTGACAACCAACATGATCTTTCTGATCACCCCATCCTTACTTAAAAAACATCATTGCCTCTCCAGTGTTCTTACACTAAAGGTGTCATCTGCCTAACTTAATTTAGGAATGCCTATATGCTCTGTTATTGTTTAAATATTCCCAGCTTTGCCACTTCCCATCTCACACCAACATCCAGTCATCTAGAAGATCTTTCCATTCCTCCAGTTCTCTCGTAACTAAAACAACTTCAGACTTACCCCTCACTCCCACAGGTAACTTGCCGGTAACTCTTCTTGTAGAACTCAAATCTCATCTATTGTTCTCTCCTTCTGTCCCTGACTTAATTCGTAAATCTCTGGAGAATGTTCCCCTGTGGTCCTGTCACAAGGTTATTCCGACCTAAACAGAATAGACTATATTGCTTGCTGGGAAGATGTATATGCGATCTCTAGTACACAGTAGGTCCTCAATAATTACTGATGACTGGTAAAGCAGCCAAGGCCTTTTGACTTTAGATAGATCGTATTCTATGTTAATAACAATACTAGCACAAGATTCTATTCCCCTGCTGGACATTATATATATTTGATAATGAATTAATTAATTCTCTTTGACAGCACAATAAGTATTCAACTTACAGTCGAAAATGCAAGGCAAGGTACACAATAAGACAGATCCAAGCCCTGACGCCTCTGAGCTTTAAGCAGTCAGGTAACTATTTGTTCTGAAAAGTATTAACTGCTTATCAACATTAAACTTCACCACACAATGCCTTGTGTTCAGTTGGCCTTGGCCTCAAAGCACTTTGCTGGCACATTCCCTGAATTTATATTTATTTATTTATTTATTTAGAGACAGAGTCTTGCTCTATCACTCAACCTGGAGTGCAGTGGCGCGATCTCGGCTCACTGCAACTTCCGCCTCCCTGGTTTAATCGATTCTCCTGCCTCAGCCTCCCAGGTAGTTGAGATTACAGTCGTCCGCCACTACGACTGGCTAATTTTTTGTATTTTTAGTAGAGACGGGGGTTTCACCATCTTGGCCAGGTTAGTCTCGAACTCCTGACCTCGTGATCCACCAACCTCGGCCTCCCAAAGTGCTAGAATTACAGACATGAGCCACAGCTCCGAGCCTCCCCGAATTTAAAGAATGGCCCTGACAGGCCCCGCCTCCCCACTCAGGCCACGCCTCCACATTTAGGACTCTCTCCGCCCAGTCCCGTCTCCATACTAGGGCTTGCCTCAAGCCCTGCTTCCTCTCCCAGCCTCGCCTTCTCACTACGGCCTAACCCCAAGCGCTTCTCCCCGACCCGCCCCGTCCCCACACTACCGCCTGGTCCTCAACCCCGCATCTCCGCTCGGACCCCAACTCCCTGACCAGCCCCGCCTTTACTCTCGGGCTCCGCCTCCCCGTCCGGTCTTGCCTCCATACTCCGGCCCTGTCCCAAGCCACGCCCCCACACAGCTCCGCCTTCACGCTTGGCCTGGCCCCCAGCTTCTTTCTGCTGCGCCCTGTCTCCGCACTCCGGGCTGGTCCCAAGCCCCGCCTCGCCTCCCGCCCCGCCCCCACACCACCGAGCTCCGCCTACAGCCCCCGCTATGTCTCCCCACTCCACCTGGTTCCGACCCGGCCTCCCGCCCCGCCTCCACATCCTAGCCCCGCCTCCAACCCCGCCCTGTCCCCCCACACTCCGCCTGGTTTCGACCCCGCCTCTCACTCCGCTCTTCCTCCCATTCCGCCCCGCCTCCACATTCCCGAGCCCGCCTCCAACCCCGCCCTGTCTCCACACCCAGCCTTCTCCCGAGCCCCGCCTCCCTCCCCGCCCCGCTTTCCACAAGCCCCGCCTCCCGCCTTCACGCTCCCGAGCCCCGCCTTCACACTCCCAAGACCCGCCTACATCCCCGCCCTGTCTCCTCACTCCGCCTGGTCCGGAGCCCCGCATCCGTCCCCGGCCCTGCCCCGCCTTCACACTCCTGAGTTCCGCCCGGTCTCCACACTGGGGCGGCACCTCCCTACTCGGCCCCACCTCCACACTCCGGCTCCGCCTCTATCTCCACACCCAAGCCAGTCCCTTAGCCCCGCCTCCACGTCTCGGTCCCAACTCCACATCCTGGTTCCCATCTGTACCTTCCACGCATCCTGGAGCTGCACGCTTGGCCCCGCCCTGAGCCCTGAGCCCTGCCTCCCGGCCCTGGCCCCGCTTCCCAGGCCTGCACCGCGCCTCTCTGCCCAGGCCCAGACCCAAGGCCAAGCCCAAGCCCCAGTCCCTCCTCCACACCTGAGTCCGAGCCCGGCGTCCCAGATCCGGACCCGCCTGCCTGGGGCGGAGCTGCACCGGGTGCGGGCCAGGGGCGTGGCAGGCTTCTCAGAGCACCAGGTGCGGCTTCTGGGTCAAGATGGCCGCCTCCGGCAGCGCCGGCGCCGGGGCCGGGCTCCTGCCGTGCCGCCGCCGCTGCCTTCCCGCCGGGGCCTCGCTACTGCGCGTCGCCCTCTGCCTCCTGTGCTGGGCCCCGGCGGCTGTGCGCGCCGTTCCCGAGCTCGGGGTCTGGTTAGAGACAGTCAACGACGTAAGTGGAGTGTCGGGACCGAGGCGTGGCACGTCTCGGGCCCTCACGGGGCTTCCCTTGACCCCGGGCTTGTTCACCTGGGCTCTGCCGGGCCTGCTCCGGGTCCCCTAATGCCATCCCCGAGCCTTTCGTCTGTTACGAGCGGGGAGCGGAGAGCAGCCCCTCCTCCCGCCCGACCTAGGCTGCGGGAAAGAGCAGTCAGAATTGCGCATGGGACGGCTCTCCCGTCCCCGAGCTCGGACTGCTTCTGAGGGTCACCATTCCCAACGCCACGGCCCTCATTCTGCTCTGACATGTTTTGGCTGGATCAGGGCCTTGTTTATTCAGACCTAAGCCCAGAATCTCTTGGCACATCTAGCAGCATCTCTGGGATTCGACTCGTCCTGTCCGGATGCAGCCACAGTGGGCCACATCCCTGAGGCCGCAGGGAGGACTTCCGCGCTTCAGTTTCAGCATAAACTTGGAAAGCGCGTCTGCCGCATCCTTCTTTAAAAAAATAAGAAAATTTAAATGAGGGGGAAACGTGCAGTAGTCACCCTACCTCTATTTCTCTCTTCCTGAGTTCCTGAATTTCTCTACAGCTCCTATCACAGTTTCGGGAGTTTGTGAGTGTGGGTGGGCGTGTGTGTGTGTGTGTGTGTGTGTGTGTGTGTGTGTGTGTAGGTGGGGCAGGACTTGTGATTAGGGAAGTGCCTGAAAGGTGAACCTGGAGGCATGAGTAGGTGGAAACTCTTCTTTCCAAGGCAGGCTGTTAGAAAACTTGGCATCCAGTAATTAGAGGAGATGATGTGGGAGGGATGCAGGAGCAGAATTATGGAAAAGTCTTTCGAAAGAGAGACAGGAAGTCTGGAAGAGGCATTATCTCCTGCTTCTCTAGGGTCAGCTGACTCATCCCGCAATGTTTGGGATGGGTATTTTCCACGGACATATGAAATAATGTCCGAGTTCTAAGGATGAGACTTATATTTGGGTTCCCTTAACCAGAAAAAGAAAGTAGTTCCAAAGACTACAAATGCTTCCCACAACACAAAAGCTACTCGTAGGAACACGCTGAGTATCTTTCTGGATCTTTAAGACTTAGTGCAGCCTTTTCCTCCAGGAGCCTTCCAGGTTGGTGACTTATTTTGTGCTCCAGCTATATAGTCTGCACATTTCCGTTGTTTAATTTCTCTGAACGGGGAAAAAGCAAAACTCGGTGAACTACTCTCATGGTTTCCTGCTGCTACTATAGTGAATAGTCAGTGTGGCTATATTGGAAGTGAATCAGCTGCATGCATATTGTTAGATTACTTGAACATATCTGTAAAAATCTTTGCCAAGTGTACTTCTTCCTGCATGAGAAAGAGAAGTTTGCTCCTTGAGTGCTGTGCGACCTTTAGTCTGATTTTACTCTTTTTTTTTTTTTTTTTTTTTTTGAGACAGAGTTTCACTCTTGTTACCCAGGCTGGAGTGCAATGGCACGATCTCGGCTCACCGCAACCTCCACCTCCTGGGTTCAGGCAATTCTCCTGCCTCAGCCTCCTGAGTAGCTGGGATTACAGGCACACGCCACCATGCCCAGCTAATTTTTTTGTATTTTTCGTAGAGACGGGGTTTCACCATGTTGACCAGGATGGTCTCGATCTCTTGACCTCGTGATCCACCCGCCTCGGCCTCCCAAAGTGCTGGGATTACAGGCTTGAGCCACCGCGCCCGGCCTGATTTTACTCTTATGTGACCCTGGGTCACTAGAAGTCTAAAAGCCCTTCTCTCCCAAGAGTGGACTTACTGTTTTCCTCATTTCAAGTTGTCAGAAACAGAAAAGGAGAGTGGGGCTTTCTCTCATTTGTATAATTCATCTAAAGATGAATTACAGGATCAGATCTGGAAGTAGAGGTACCAGTTAAGCTATTGCAGAAATTAGGCAGGAAATGCAAAGGGCCTAAATTAGGGCAATGTTGACAGGGATGGAGAGGAAGAGCTAAATTTGATGAATGTTTGTGAGATGAAGTAGGCATGCCTGGGGATTGGGCTGTGGAAGTGGGAAACTGGAAGGAGCCATGGCTTGGGTGACTGTAGATGGTACCACCTCCAACCAAGGTGGACAGTGTAGGAAAAGTTGGTGAGCAGAGAGAACTGTGTCTGGTTTAAGACAGATGTGTCCTTTGGGAGGCCGAGGTGGGTGGATCACAAGGTCAGTAGTTCGAGACCAGCCTGACCAAGATGGCGAAACCCTGTCTCTACTAAAAATACAAAATTTAGCCAGGCACTGTGGCAGGCGCCTGTAATCCCAGCTACTTGGGAGGCTGAGGCAAGAGAATCACTTGAGCCCGGGCAGCAGAGGATGTTGTAAGCCAAGATCACACCACTGTACTCCAGCCTAGGTGACAGAGTGAGACTGTCTGAAAAAAAAAACATACAAAAATCCAAACAGGTGTGTCTGTTGGACAACCCCCAGTGGACATGTCCTTTAGGCAGTTGGGTATGTGGATCTGGAGCTCAAAGGAGGGATCCAAGTTGGGAATTTTATTGTTACTATTGTTGAAGCTGTGTTGGGGAGGGGGAAGAGGGTAGGACCACTTGTCCTATCAGTGGTTTTTTTTTAGATTGATTGATTGATTGATTGATTGATTTCTTTCTTTCTTTCTTTCTTCTTTCTTTTCTTTTCTTTTCTTTTCTTTTCTTTTCTTTTCTTTTCTTTCTCTTGAGATGGAGTCTAGCTCTGTTGCCCAGGCTGGAGTGCAGTGGCACGATCTCGGCTCACTGCAACCTCCACCTTCCGGCTTCAAGCCATTCTCCTGCCTCAGCCTCCCGAATAGGTGGAATTACAGGCATCTGACGCTATGCCCAGCTAATTTTTGTATTTTTAGTAGACACAGGGTTTCACTGTGTTGGCCAGGCTGGTGTTGAACTCCTGACCTTGTGATCTGCCCACCTCAGCCTCCCAAAGTGCTGGGATCACAAGCGTAAGCCACTGTACCTGGCCCTTTTTTTTTTTTTTTTTTTTTTAAGTTCTAATCACTTATACATTTAACATAATTTCTAACTGCAGGACTTTTTTTTTTTTTTTTTTTTTTTTTGAGATGGAGTTTCGCTCACCGCAACCTCCGCCTCCTGGGTTCAGACAATTCTCCTGCCTCAGCCTCCTGAGTAGTTGGGATTACAGGCATGTGCCACTATGCCCAGCTAATTTTTTGTGTGTGTTTTTAGTAGAGGCGGGGTTTCACCATGTTGACCAGGATGGTCTCAATCTCTTGACCTCGTGATCCACCCGCCTCGGCCTCCCAAAGTGCTGGGATTACAGGCTTGAGCCACCGCGCCCGGCCTAGGACTTTTATTCTTGAGGAGAGAAGACAGTAAATAACTAATCAATTATTTGCTTTTAACTGTGGAAAGGTTATAAAGAAAAAAGGGTGCTAGAGATTATATAAGGGAGGGCCTGGCCTGATATGAGCCACAGTGGAAGAATTCCTGCAGAACGGACTTTTGAGCTGGGCTTTGAAGGGTAAGAAGCCAACTAGATGAACAAAGAGTGAAAGGAAGAATTTTTAAGTAAAAATTTTCAGGGTGACCACTAATCCTTAGGGCAGGAAAGAATATCATACTTTTCGGGAACTGGAAAGTTGCTGGAGAGGTGGGCAGGCCTTGGTTATTCAGGGTTCTATAGGCTACAAAAAGAATTTTGGTCTGTTGTAATTGCATTGGTAAACCATAATAACAACTGGGATCTGGGAGAGGCGGAAGTTCTTTATCAAACGTATGTTCAAATTGACACCAAGAAAGCAGCATGCAAATGCAGATAGTTCATGTCATGTCTGAATAGCAGTAATCCTGAAATGGGAGCATCTTTTACTTCTTATATGTCATTGGCCCTGGCTGAGTCTGCTAGAGGCAGGAGCCCTCCTGACCCTCCCGGTAACTGCAGGAAGTAGAATCATGACAAGGTTTTTTGTTTTGTTTTGTTGTTTTGTTTTTGAGACAGTCTCACTCTGTCGCCCAGGCTGGAGTGCAGTGGTGCAATCAGGGCTCACTGCAGCCTCTGCCTCCCAGGTTCAAGCAATTCTTTTTCCTCAGCCTTTCAAGTAGCTGGAACTACAGGCGCACGCCACCATGCCTGGTTAATTGTTTGTATTTTTAGTAGAGATGGGGTTTCACCATGTTGGCCAGGATGGTCTTGATCTCCTGACCTCATGATCTGCCTGCCTTGGCCTCCCAGAGTGCTGGGATTATAGGTGTGAGCCACTGCGCCCATCCATGACAAGGTTTTAAGCAAGCAAGTGATTTGATCAGATTTACATTTAAAAAAATACTCTGATCAGAGAGAGGAGTGCAAGGATTAGAACTCTATGTGTTGTGGGGTACAACTACTCTTAAAACAGTTACGAAAGAAACTTTTTTAACAAAATCTTCGTATGTTTGTTTTTCATTTTAGAAATCAGGACCTTTGATATTTAGGAAAACTATGTTTAGCTCTACAGATATCAAGTTTTCTGGTAAGTATAATAAGATAATAAAATACTAATATATATAAACAAATGCATTAATGTAAACGAATATAACATATAATTAACTAAGCAAATGTTTTGTTTTTAAGTGGTTCTGACATTTTAAGGTTTTGTTTCAGTCGGGACTTGGTTATTTACAAGAATGGATTTTTCTTTTTTTTTTTTTAGAGATGGAGTCTCTGTCACCCAGGTTGGAGTGCAATGGCACAGTCTTGGCTTACTGTAACCTCCGACTTCTGAGTTCAAGTGATTCTCCCATCTCAGCCTCCTGAGTAACTGGGATTATAGGTGCCTACCACCATGCCTGGCTAATTACTGTATTTTTAGTAGAGATGGGGTTTTACCATGTTGACCAGGCTGGCATTGAACTCCTGACCCCAGGTAATCCACCCACCTCGGCCTCCCAAAGTGTTGGGATTACAGGCATGAGCCACTGCACCCGGCCCACAAGAATGGATTTTTCTGAACCTCTTTCAGAAAATATAATATGAATCATTTTATAAAAATTATAATTAATGTCTAATAGACAAGCAAAAAAGTATTTGGTTTTTGTGAAATTTGACTTTGAGTCTCAGTTTTTAAAAACTAGATAAATTGCTTTATGAGTATATGAATGTCATGATTGTGATAAACCCTTTATGACCTTGAAAATTTTCAAAATGTACATGTCCTTCTTATTACTGTAAGAAGTAAAAATTGCTGGATGCCAACATTTTAATTAGAGTTTTAAAGTTTATAAAAATTAAAATATTCATTAGATAGAGACTGTCTTTTCTGTGTAAATACTGATGTACAAGAACTACCAAGGTTTTTCAAGAGTTTCACTGGGTTTATATTGGATCATATTCACTGTGGCCTAATCCCTCTTCTTGTTTCCGGTAACCTAACCAGGAAAATTGGTTGCCAGAGTTAAAGTCTCCGGATAAAGAGCAGTTTTTTGCTGGGTAGAGCAAACTGACTTCCACAGGATCCAAAGCCATGCCTCTTTCCTGTTTCACACAACAGATCATGCTCTGCTCATTTGTTGGGGGCAATTCTGCCTTTTATGCAGTCAGGCTAGCCAGCAGCTAGAAAGCAGAGGTGGCTTTGAGCAGCTCTGTAATATAGATCATCAGTGGTGATAAGAGCTTGGTAAGAGGAAAGTGAAGTCCAAGGTGGGTGAGAAAAAAAATTTGGCATCTGTTTATTTAATGAATTCATGTCTCAAAGTCTAGACAAAGAGGATTGAAAAGAACCTCAGTCTGGTGCTGACAAACAGTTATATGGGGAAAGAAAGTAAAGTCAGCCACTGAAACACAGCATTTGATTTTTAAAAGTCATTACAAATGCCCAAGATCTACCTATGAGTAGACTACAATCAAGACATTGTTTTTAACCTACCTAAAGAAAGAATAGAACAGCATGAGAGAGTTAAGAGCAAACACATAATAAAACTAGGGTTTAGTCAGGCAAATGCTTGTCATGTCCAGCAGCTTTGTTGGGAGAGAGGTTTTCTTGAACCGTGACCACAGCTATGACATGGGTCTGGCAGGTATGGATATAGCATCCACCTGAGCCTCCTTGTTCTAGTGTCACGCTCACCAAACCACCTTCTCATCTATATTGGGCATGCCTCCAGGGAGGCATGCTGAAGGGAAAGAGTTGATCATTACTAGTCCAGTTTACAGTTTCTGTTCATTTTAAGTGAGTAATTGAGCATTCTCATTTACACATCTACGTCAGTAGTCATGAAAGTGAGTAATTGAGCATTCTAATTTACACATCTACCATTGGGAAAGAATCTGTGTTTTCACAGAGCCAGATTTTAGTGCTTGTAAAGCTGAGGACTGATCCTTTGGATATATATATGTCCATGCTGTTTGGCAGATCAGATATCTGGCTTTTCTTTAGGCAACCTCTTTTCTGCTGTCTCATTCAAGATGCAGTCATGTGGAGCCTGTACAAAAAAAAAAAAAAAAAAAAAAACCTCTCAATGTAATTCACCATATTAACAGAATATAAGAAATGTACCATATGATCATCTCAAAATATACAAAAAGAGCATTTGAAAAAAATTTAGCACCCATTCATGATAGAAATTCTCAGAAAGCTAGAAATAGAAGGAAACTTCCTCAACCTGATAAAGGACATCTATGAAAAATCTATAGCTAACATCATACTGTCCCAGATCTATAAATTCATTTTAATCCTGGTCAAAATCCAAGCAGACTTTTTGTTTGTTTGGTCAGTGCATATTATGAATTTTACGTTCTTGAGTGCTGGAGGATGTCGTAGTCTTTTAACAGCTTTGTTCTAGCAGACATTTAAGTTCCTTGTGGGTCAATTTGATGCTTTCCAGTTTTCTTGTTAAGTTCTTTTAGGATGGTTTGCAGTAGCCTTTTCTCTAGGGCAAACTTAGCAGTACTTCTGTGGTGTGATGTTTCTACTTGTCTTCTAAATACCTGTTATATTTACTCAGGCCTCTCTACTCTGGCTAGTGGAAACTCAAACAGTTCCCAGCTCTGCGTGAGCTCTGAGAATTGTTGGGCTTGTTCCCATGCATGAGCAGGCTGCCCTTCAGCCAGAAACTTCAGGAGATCACTGTGCAGACTTCTCTTTCTCTTTCTTTATGTAGCTTCCATCTCTTGGGTACTGAACCCCAGAAAATCTACCAGCCGCAGTTTGAACTTGAATCTCTGGCCTCAGTTCAGTTTCCCTCTTTGTGGCTATTAGCCTTTAAGATGACTCCCAATGATCCGTGCTTCCTGTTATTCATGATCTTGTGTGGTGTGTAGGGCTGTAGGGTCCCACAGGGTTCTGGGGTGTCCCTTATGCTGTGCTGAAGTGCAGGATCTGAGAAGTAAAGGGACAGGACACTGAAGAACTGGTGAAGAGCATCTGGACTCTGGGGGCCATGCAACCTATGAACAGAGGTCAGCAGGGGCCCCAAATGCCCAGAAACATCTGTTTATTAGGTACAAGCAGGGTGCAGGATTATAAGTGAGGTCATCATCTATAGGCTTAGTGATAGGGCATACATAATCACATGAGTCACAATCGAGGGGGCCACCCCATTATGTCACCTGGACAGAGAGGTGGGCCATGCGCTGTAGGGGGCCGTGTCGTGCACAGTAGTAGAGGGTCATGTACAGAAAAGGGGTCCACCTCCATTAGGTCACCAAGGCAAGGAGATGGGCTGTGTGCAACAGGTGTCGTGCACAACACTTCTTATCTGGGGGCTGGAGACTTCAAAGGATTTCTAATAGAAGGATACTATAAGCCAGTGCAGTGGAAGCTGACAGACTGCTCTTCTCGTAAGACATTTATGGGAGGATGATTTGAGCTAGTGCAGAAGCAAGAAAAGACTGACAGGGTGTACGGCCACTGTGACTGGTCACACCAGAGGGGTTTTTCTCCCTCGGTTATTTCCAGGATCTCAGGCCTGAGGCCTACTTACCACAGGAACTGGATGCAAGGTGCTACAACTCCTTTAGCAAGAGAAGAGGCTCTTGCTCCAAGCCTGCCATACAACGTATGCCCTTTCAGGCAGGGATGCCACCGCTTGGGTCTTTGGTTCTTGTCCTGGTCTGGATGTTTTCCCATATACTGCTTCTGTTCTGTGACTGTTCTAGGCATTCCTCCTACTACAAACGACTATATGGTTATATGGAAGGATTATACAAATCAGCACTAAATGGGTCAGTACAGCTCCAACTGCAATACCTATATGATTATATAGAAAGATTATATAGAAGTAAGTATGTTAGATATAAGTATTAAGTATGATTATATAAGGTAGATAAATGTAAGCAGTAAGTTCTACCTCAGGCGCTAATTCTATAACCTAATATATGATTATATATAAAGGATTATAAAAAGGAAATAGCTGAGTAATAACATTGTAAACTAAGATATTCTTCAGGCACTAATTGTGCCTGGGGTCTGGACAGTTCTCCTTCCTTAGTGCCCATGGGGGGCATTACCCACAGTAGTCCTCTAACACATTTTATCAGAGTTGGTCTGAGTGACTGATAGAGCATGGTGGAAATAATGGCACATCCTTCTGAGGCTAAGATATAAAAGACACTGTGGCTGCTTCTTTGCTCTCTCTCTAATCACTCACTTTGGGGTAAGCCAGCTGCCATGTTGTGAGGATGCTCCCAACAGAGCTCTCCTTAACCCCAGACTTAATGCTTTTCAGTCTGACTAATCACGTCACCCTCTTACCTGGATCATTCGGAAGAAAGGCCGAACTCCTTAGCAGGGTGTAAGACCTCATGAATTTTCCCCAGCGCTCTTCCCCAGCATCAACTCTTTCTCCTTTCCCCAGTCTGAGTTCTAAGCATAGCAAACTATTTTGAGGGGGTCACAGTCATGCTGTGCTTTCACTCACCCTGGGCATTTACGTGTATAGTCCACCCTTCTCTTCACCTGGCCGACTCCTGCTTTTCTTTCAGATTACAGGTCTCCTCCTCCAGCAAGCTTACCCAGAACCCATTCTTCAGGCTCTCCTGGGCTATGATAGGTGACCTGCCCAGAGCTCCCTTGACTGTTTTCAGCCCCTTGGACTATTAAAAGTGCCTGTTTAGTTGTTAAAACTCTCTCCTCCAGTACCTCTTAAGTCATCGACAGGCATTGTTTTTGTTTACCTTCGTAGCTCTTCCTGGCACACAGGATGGGGCTCATTCAGTATATTTGAATGAATATGAGCAAGAAAAATGTTTGAGAGTGAAATAAGCAGTAACTTAGCATATCAGGCCACTGAGTTTATTTATTATTAGACTTATAGATGAAATGAACAGTATTACAGCAGCTTTTGGTTAATTATAACAATTTAATGCATTCATCTGTCTCACTTTACCATGACTTTTTGGAGAAATTAGGTAATGTTTTACTCACTGTTACATTAAAGTAGCCTATTTTTAATTGCATTCTCAAAACCTTAAGTTTATGCTAGAGTGTACGTATTATTCATGTAAAACGAGACTTTCTTTTTCTAAACAGTTAAGTCATTCCATTGTTCTCCGCCTGTGAAGTTTACCATAATGTGGCATTTGAAGTATCATACCTGTCACAATGAGTATTCTAATCTGGAAGTAAGTAAAACACAAGTTTTTAATGTATATAAAAAGATGAAGGAAAATTATGGGTATAAAGATGTATTAGCTTATCAAGCGAGGAGGCTAGAAATAGAGATTTTGGGACTTATGGCAATAAACAGGTATGTGCTTTCTGAGAAGGCTATAAGTCTTTAGTTGCCTTGTATGTTATGAAAAATGTTAGTAAATGGCTAAATTCAGGCACGTATGAGTCATTGATAAAGACGCTATACAGACAAAAACTTAATTTGCAAAGTAAGTTTAAATAGATTAAGTTAAATTGCGAAATAACTTCTTAAAAAAAATTATAGGGAACCTAGAACTGTATTGAATACAGGTAAATTTAGTGAGCACAAGTAGATTGCAGAAAGAGGTGAGGAGAAGGAAGGAGATATCTGGGGAAAGGCAGAGGAGACTGAGAGAGAAGGAGAAAATGACAGTGCTAAAGAAGGCTTCTCTTGCACCTGGCTCTGAAGCTGGGGTTCATTCCTCCTGCAATGTGCACTGGGCTCTCAGCAAGGTGTTTCTCTTGATGATTCTCATGATGGTTGCTTGGGATTGTTTCCTTTTCAGATTCTCTGTTACCTGTTTGGCTTCTACTTTGAATAATATATGGGTTTCCATATTGTAATTTTTAAAAATTTTATTATGTATACATGCATATACCAATATGAATACATATACGTACATACACCTATACGTGTATGTGCATATAAATACATATGAGATCTCACTCCGTGACCCAGGCTGGAGTGCAGTTTTATGATCATGGCTCACTCCAGTCTTGAACTCCTGGGCTCAAGCGGCCCTCCTGGCTTAGTCTCCAGAGTCTCTGGGATTATAGGTGTGAACCATTGTGCCTGGCTTTCCATATTTTTATTAGCATTATATTTCTGTTTGCATTGAACTATGCCATTTTCCTTGAATACTACCTTTTTGATTTTATCTCTAAATATTTTACATCTTCACACTAAATACTTCAATGTATATTTCCTAAGAACAGAGATACTCCTTTAATTTTTCACAGTATAATTATAGAATTCAAATTTAACACTGATATGATGCCATTATATGTAAACCTTATTAAAATTTTGCAGCTGGATGTGGCTCACACCTGTAATCCCAGCACTTTGGGAAGCTGAGGTGAGAGGACTGCTTGAGCCCAGGAGTTCAAGGCAACAGCCTGGGCAACAAGTGAGACCCTCTCTACAAAAAATTTAAAAATTAGCCAGGCACAGTGGCATGTGCCTATAGTCTCAGCTATTCAGGAGGTTGAGGCAGGAGGATCCCTTGAACCCAGGAGTTCAAAGTTGCAGTGTGCTGTGATTGCACCATTATACTCCAGCCTGGGAGACAGTGAGACCTTGTCTCAAAAACAAAATAAAAAAAATTCACCAGTGTCTCAATAATGCCTTTTATAGCAGATCCCTCCTGCACACGCACTCTACTCCCCTCCCCGCCCCATACAGGAACCAATTCAGGGTCACATTTCATTTCCTTTCCTTGTTTTTGTTTTTAGTTCCTGATAATCTGGATTTTCCCCTCTTTTTTGGTGGGTCATGACATTGATAGTTTTGAAGTATACAAACCATTTCTTTTTGCAAAATGCCCCTCAATTTGAATATTTCTGATGTTTATTCATGATCAGATTCAAGTTGTACGTTTTTGGCAGAAATACTACAGAATACTGATTTATCTCATTTTTGGTGAAGTTAATTTGGTCAGTTGGTCAAGGAGGCGTCTGCAATATTTTTCCATTTTAAAGTTACTACTTTTTGTTATTAACAATAACTTGTGAGGAAATACTTTTGAAACTATGTAAATATCTTGTGGTGTTCATCAAACCTTCAGCTACTTGTTTTAGCATCTTTTCATGATTCTTGCCTGATTAGTCAGTCATTACTGTGCTGATTGCTGAGTGGTGATTTTCTAGTTCCATACTTCCTTCTTCACTTACTAGCATTCTACTATAAGGATGCCCTGTCTCTACTCCCCTAACCAATCTATCTTACCTGTCAGTCATCAGGTTGGACTCATTGACTTTTACTTCGTTGTATAGGTCATAATCTGTTACTGTTTTTATTTATTTCCCTCAAATTGTCTCATATTTGGTCTGGGGGAATCAACTTCACTTTTTTTTGATGACTGGGAGCTGCCGTTAGGAGCCTGGTCCATTCATCCCTTCAAGGATGCCAGGAACCTCAGGTAGTTGTGTAAATGAGCATTTCCTCTGTACTCAGCCACCTTTGCTGTATCTTTTTGTTTGCTTTCTCTTTTTTTGTAGTTGAATGCTGCTTTCTTTCTCTGTAAAATCTCTTACACATGGGCTAAAATACAAGTAGCCCCAGAACAAAGTAGTGTTTTATTTCTCTGGAAACTATTTTCTTGTGGTAGTATCTTAAATCAGTTTTCTTACTGTAAGATTATGCTTGTATTATATATTATTGTATCTGAACACACTGGAATGGTTGAAAAGTTACAGTGATCTCAATTATACTTAAAATTATATTCAAAACATTTTTTATTTAATACTTTATTCTACTGCATATTTCCAGGTATTTCAAACTGAATATACTTTTGATATTATTTAGACTAAGTTTTATTTATATTCTAGGATAAGAAGTGTGGGAATAAATTATAACATAGAATTTTACCTTATGTAGGAGCTGTCCCAAAAACATGAACTTCGTGTTGATGAAGACTTTTGTGATCATTATTTCAAGAATGTCAACTGTTGGACAACAAAGAATGAAAACTTAGATTGCAACAGTGATTCACAGGTGTTTCCCTCTTTGAATGTGAGTATCTGACTTGCCATGTTAAAATAAAGTTTATTTTATTCCCAGTGAATACAAGTATCAACTGAAGTAATGTTTTATCAGAATTTTGTAAAGGTGGTTAACTTGCTAATTTTTATGTTTAGGGTTTTTTGTGTGTGTGTGTATATAGTACATAATAAGTAAGATCATTGGCCAGGTGCCATGGCTCACACTTGTAATCCCAGCACTTTGGAAAGCCAAGGTGGGTGGATCACCTGAGGTCAGGAGTTTGAGACCAGCCTGGCGAAACCCTGTCTTTACTAAAAATATAAAAATTAGCTGGGTATATGCCTGTAGTCCCAGCTACTTACATGGCTGAGGCATGAGAATTGCTTGAACCCAGGAGGCGGAGGTTGCATTGAGCCAAGTTCATGCCACTGCACTCCAGCCTGGGTGACAGAGCAAGAATCCGTCTCAAAACAAAAAAGATATTGATACCATTGTTCCATTTCCTTGCAACTTATTTTGGCGACATCCTTGCAAGGGTGTTTTTTATCTGCTACTTCCAGTTTATCTCTCACTCTTTCTTCTGTCAACTACAGTCAGACCTTTGCATCCATCATCCCATCAAAACAGCTCTAGTCAAAGTCACCAGTGACTTCCATGTTGTTAAATCCAATGATCTGTTCCTCTTACCAAAAATCTTGACTTATCAGCATTTGACATACTTCAACACTACCGTCTCCTTTATGCAGTTTCTCCCTCCCAGTGTAGAAGCTTAGATTCTAAAATGGTAACAGCAGTCAGCCTTGGGTAGTGAGGTTATGGGGCATTTAAATTTATATTTTGTTCTTTTGTAAATTCTAAAATGAGAATGTTTTTAGTAAAAGTTTTAGAAGAATTTTCTTTAAAATGTGTTGAAATATAATAAACACAGAAAAAGTACACAGAAGTGTGCCCCTCAAAAAATTTTTAAAAACTGAGCACAACCATGTAGCCATGATGAATTATAGAACATTTTAGCACCTAGAACTCCCTTTTAGTTCTTAACACTTTCCCTGCCAATGGCGACACTATCCTCATTAAGGAGTAAGTTTAATTTTTAACTTTTATGTTCAGGGGTATGTACATGTGCAGGTTTGTTACATAGTAAACTCACATCACAGGGATTTGTTGTGCAGATTATTTCCATGAGCCAGGTAGTAAGTTTAGTACCCAATAGTTATTTTTTCTGCTTCTCTACCTCCTCCCAGCCTCCACCCTTAAGTAGGCCTCTCTTCGTGTCTGCTGTTCCCCACTTTGTGTCCATATGTTCTCATCATTTAGCTCCCACTTGTAAGTGAGAATATGCAGTATTTGGTTTTTGTTCCTGTGTTAGTTTGCTAAGGAAAATGGCTTCCAGCTCCATCTTTGTCCCTGCAAAGGACACGATCTCCTTTTTTATGTCCGCATATTATTCCATGGTTTATATGTACCACATTTTCTTTATCCAGTCTACCGTTAATGGGAAATTAGGTTGATTCCATGTCTTTGCCAGTGTGAATTGTGCTGCAGTGAACATATGTGTGCATGTCTTTATGACAGAACGATTATATTCCTTTTGGTATATACCCAGTAATGGGATTGCTGTGTCAAATGGTAGTTCTGTTTCCAGCTCTTTGAGGAATCACCACACTGCTTTCCACAATGGTTGAACCAATTTATACTCCCACCAGAAGTGTATAAGCAGTCCCTTTTCTCCACAACTTTGCCAGCATCTGCTGTTTTTTGACTTTTTAATAATAGCCATTCTGACTTGTGTTGAGAGGGTATCTCATTGTGGTTTCGATTTGCATTTCTCTAATGATCGGTGATATTGAGCTTTTTAAAATATGCTCACTAGCTGTATGTATGTCTTCCTTTGAAAAGTATCTGTTCATGTCCTTTACTCGCATTTTAATGCTTCTTGTTGTTGTTGTTTTCCTTGTAAATTTAAGTTCCTTATAGACGCTGGATATTAGATCTTTGTCAGATGTATAGCTTGCAAATGTTTTCTCCCATTCTGTAGGTTATCTTTTTACTCTGTTGATAGTTTGTTTTGCTGTACAGAAACTCTTTAGTTTTAATTCAATCCCATTTGTCAATTTTTGCTTTTGTTGTCATTGCTTTTGGCCTCTTTGTCATGAAATTATCACCTGTTCCTACATCCAGAATGGTATTGTCTAAGTTGTCTTCCAGGGTTTTTATAGTTTTAGGTTTTACATTTAACTCTTTAATCCATCTTGAGTTGATTTTTGTATAAGATGTAAGGAAAGGATCTGGTTTCAATCTTTTGCATATGGCTAGCCAGTTATCCCAGCACCATTTATTAGATAGGGAGTCTTTTCTCTGTTGTTTGTTTTTGTCACCTTTATTAAAGACCTGATTATTATAGGTGTGCAGCTGTATTTCTGAGCTCTCTATTCTGTTCCACTGGTCTATATGTCTGTTTTTATACCAGTACCATGCTGTTTTGGTTACTGTAGCCCTATAGTATAGTTTGAAGTCAGGTAGCATATGCATTCAGCTTTGTTCTTTTTGGTTAGGATTGCCTTGGCTATTTGGGCTCTCTTCTGGTTCCATGTGAATTTTAAAATAGTTTTTTCTAGTTCTGTGAAGAATGTTACTGGTAGTTTGATAGGAATAGCATTGAATCTATAAATTGCTTTGGGCAGCAGGGCCATTTTAATAATATTAATTCTTCATATCCATGAGCATGGACATCTTCCCATTTGTTTTTGTCATCTCTGATTTCTTTGAGCAGTATTTTGTAGAGATCATTCGCCTTCCTGGTTAGCTGTATTCCTAGGTATTTTATTCTTTTTGTGGCAGTTGTGAATGGGATTGCATTCGTGATTTGGCTCTTGGCTTGGCTGTTGTTGGTGTACAGAAATGCTAGTGATTTTTTTTTTTCTCATTCTGTCATCTAGGCTGGTGTGTGGTGGCACAATCTCAGCTCACTGCAGCCTCCACCTCCCAGCTTCAAGCAATTCACCTGCCTCAGCCTTCCGAGTAGCTGGGACTACAGGCACCTGGCTAATTATTTTTGTATTTTTAGTAGAGATGGTGTTTCACCCTGTTGGCCAGACTGTCCTCAAAATCCTGACCTTAAGTGATCCACCCGCCTCGGCCGCCCAAAGTGCTGGGATTACAGGAGTGAGCCACTACACCCAGCTGCTAGTGATTTTTGTATGTTGATTTGGTATCCCAAAACTTTGCTGAAATTGCTTATCAGCTCAAGGAGCTTTTGGGCAGAGAGTATGGGGTTTTTCTAGATATAAAATCATGTCATCTGCAAACAGGGATAGTTTGACTTCCTCTCTTCCTGTTTGGATGCCCTTTATTTCTTTCTCTTACTTGATTGCTCTGGCCATAACTTCCAATACCATGTTAAATAGGAGTGGCAAGAGAGGGCATCTTTGTCTTGTGCCTGTTTTCAAGGGAAATGCTTCCAGCTTTTACCCATTCAGTATGATGATGGCTATGGGTTTATCATAGATTACTCTTATTTTTTTAGGTTTGTTCCCGCAATACCTAATTTATTGAGAGTGTTTAACATGAAAGGATGTTGTATTTTATCCAGAGACTTTTCTGTATCTATTGAGATGATCATGTGGTTTTTGTCTTTAATTATCTTTATGTAATAAATCGTGTTTATTGATTTGTATATGTTGAACCAACCTTTTATCCCAGGGGTAAAGCCTGCTTGATCATAGTAGATTAACTTTTTGATGTGCTGCTGGATTTGGCTTGCTAGTATTTTGTCGAGGATTTTTGCATCAATGTTCGTCAAAGATACTGGCCTGAAGTCTTCTTTTGTCATGTCTTTGCTAGGTTTTGGTATCAGAATAATGCTGGCCTTATAGATTGAGTTGGGGAGGTTTCCCTCCTCCTCAGTTTTTTTGGAATAGTTTCAGTAGGAATGGTACCAGCTCTTCTTTGTACTTCAGTAGAATTTAGCTAAGTGAATCCATCAGGTCTTGGGCCTTTTTTTGGTTGGTAGACTACATCCATTTCAGAGCTTCTTACTGGTCTGTTAAGGGAATCAGTTTCTTCCTGGTTTAGTCTTGGGAGAGTGTATGTGTCCAGGAATTTATCCATTTATTCAAAATTTCTTGTTTGTGTGCAGAGAGGTGTTCATAGTATTTTCTGATGGTTATTTGTATTTCCATGGGGTCAGTGGTAACATTCCCTTTGTCATTTCTAATTGGGTTTATTTGGATTCTGTCTTTTCTTCTTTATTAATGTAGCTGGCAGTCTATCTGTCTTACTAATTTTTTCAAAAAACAGCTCCTGAATTCACTGATGTTTTGAATGTTTTTTTGTCTCTCAGTGTTCTTTACTTCAGCTATGATTTTGGTTACTGCTTGTCTTCTGCTAGCTTTGAGGTTGGTTTGCTCTTGCTTCTTTAGTTCTTTAGTTGTCCCATTAGGTTGTTAGTTTGAGATTTTTTTAACTTTTTTTTTTTTTTTTTTTTTTTTGAGACGGAGTTTCGCTCTTGTTACCCAGGCTGGAGTGCAATGGCGCAATCTCGGCTCACTGCAACCTCCGCCTCCTGGGGTCAGGCAATTCTCCTGCCTCAGCCTCCTGAGTAGCTGGGATTACAGGCACGTGCCACCATGCCCAGCTGATTTTTTTGTATTTTTAGTAGAGACGGGGTTTCACCATGTTGACCAGGATGGTCTCGATCTCTTGACCTCGTGATCCACCCGCCTCGGCCTCCCAAAGTACTGGGATTACAGGCTTGAGCCACCGCGCCCGGCTTTTTTTTTTTTTTTTTTTTTTTTTTTTTTTTGAGACAGAGTCTCACTCTGTTGCCCAGGCTGGAGGGCAGTGGTGTGATTTCAGCTCACTGCAACCTCTGTCTCCCAGGTTCAAGCAATTCTCCTGCCTCAGCCTCCTGAGTAGCTGGGAGTACAGGCATCCACCATCACACCCAGTTAATTTCTATATTTTTAGTAGAGATGGGATTTCGCCATGTTGGCAAGGCTGGTCTCAAACTCCTGACCTCAGGTGATCCACCTGCCTCGGCCTCCCAAACTGCTGGGATTACAGGTGTGAGCCACCGCACCCAGCCGAGATCTTCTTAACATTTCAATGTGGGCATTTAGTGCTATAAATTTCCCTCTTAACACTGCCCTAGCTGGGTCCTAGAGATTCTGGTCTGTTGTATCTTTGTTCTCATTAGTTTCAAAGAACTTCTTGATTTCTGCCTTAATTTCATTATTTACCCAAAAGTCATTCAGGAGCAGGTTTTTAATTTCCATGCAATTGTATGGTTTTTGAGAGATTTTCTTAATCTTGATTTTCAATTTTATTGTGCTGTGGTCTGAGAGAGTAGTTGGTATGATTTTGGTTCTTTTGCATTTACTGAGCATTGCTTTATTTTTGATTTTGTGGCCAATTTTAGAGTATGTGCCATGTGGAGATGAGAAAAGTGTATGTTCTGTTATTTTGGGGTCAGGAGTTGTGTAGATGTCTATCAAGTCTATTTGATCCAGTGTTGAGTTCAGGTTCTGAATATCTTTGTTAATTTTCTCAGTGATCTGTCTAATACTTTCAGTTGGGTGTTGAAGTCCCTCACTATTATCATGTGGGAGTCTAAGTCTCTTTAAATGTCTCTAAGAACTTGCTTTATGAATCTGGATGCTCCTGTGTCGAGTGCGTATATATTTAGGATAGTTCAGTCTTCTCTTTGAATTGAACCCTTTACTATAACATAATGCTCTTCTTTGTCTTTTTTGATCTTTCTTGATGTAAAGTCTGTTTTGTCTGAAATTAGGCCTGCAACTACTGCTTTTTTCTCTTTTCTATTTGCTTCGTAGATTTTTCTCCAATATTTTTTTCTCCAGTTTTTATTTTGAGCCTATGAGTGTCATTGCATGTGAGATGGGTCTCTTGAAGATGGCAAACCATTGGGTGTTACTTCTTTATGGCAAACCATTGGGTCTTGCTTCTTTATCCAGCTTGACACTTTGTGCCTTTTAATTGGGGCTTTTAGTATGGATATTGTGGATTTGATCCTGTCATTGTGTTGTTAGCTGGTTATTATGCAGACTCATTTGTGTGGTTATAGTGTCACTGGTTTGTGTACTTAAGTGTGTGATTTTTTTTTTTTTTTTTTTTTTTTTTTTGAGACGGAGTTTTCACTCTTGTTACCCAGGCTGGAGTGCAATGGCGCGATCTCGGCTCACCGCAACCTCCGCCTCCTGGGTTCAGGCAATTCTCCTGCCTCAGCCTCTTGAGTAGCTGGGATTACAGGCACGCGCCACCATGCCCAGCTAATTTTTTGTATTTTTTAGTAGAGACGGGGTTTCACCACGTTGACCAGGATGGTCTCGATCTCTTGACCTCGTGATCCACCCGCCTCGGCCTCCCAAAGTGCTGGGATTACAGGCTTGAGCCACCGCGCCCCGCCAAGTGTGTGTTTTGTAGTGGCTGGTAATGGTCTTTCCATATTTAGTGCTTCTTTCAGGAGCTCTTGTAAGGCAGATCTGAATGAATTCCCACACCATTTGCTTGTCTATAAAGGATCTTATTTCCCCTCACTTGGGAAGCTTAGTTTGGCTGGACATAAAATTCTTGGTTGGAATTTCTTTTCTTTAAGAAGTTGAACATAGGCCTCCAATCTCATCTTCTTTTAGGGTTTCTGCTGAGAGGTTTGCTGTTAATCTGATGGGCTTTCCTTTGTGGGTGACCTGACCTTTATTTCTAGGTGCCTTTAATGTTTTTTCTTTCATTTTGACCTTGGAGAATCTGATGATTTATGTCTCTTGGGGATGATATTCTTGTAAAGTATCTTGTGGGGGTTCTTTGTATTTCCTGAATTTGAAGGTTGACCCCTCTAGCTAGGTTGGGGAAGTCCTCATGGATGATATACTAAAATAAGTTTTTTAAGCTGCTTCCATTCTCCCCATCTCTTTCAGGACTGTCAGTGAGTCTCAGATTCAGTCTCTTTATATGATGGGGTAATTTTTCAAAAGCAAAGCTTTGTTACTTGTGATTGGGATACAGTGAGATTTGTGCTTTGATGTTTAGCTTTTAATTCTTAATTTTTCTTCTAACTTTTTTCTTAATGATTAAAACAGTTTTTCTCTGTAGAAATGCAGCAATATAAAATGGCATTGTTTACTCTTTTTTCCAGAATAAAGAACTAATAGATATCAGAAATGTTTCAAACCAGGAAAGATCAATGGTAAGCAGTTTGATTTGTCTTTAAATCAAATATACACAAGTTAACTTAAGACTGAAAAAAGTTGCTGATAGGTGCTTTGAGAGTGATATAAAGTAGGGTTATTAGAATTGTGGTGAAAAAAGGAAGCATTGTTTAAAACCATATGGTTTCAGGCCAGGTGTGGTAGCTCATGCCTGCAATCCCAGTACTTTGAGAGGCTGAGACAGGTGGATTGCTTGAGGCCAGGAGTTTGAGACCAGCCTGGCCAACATGGCAAAGCCTCATCTCTACTAAAAATATGAAAATTAGCCAGGAATGGTGGCACATGCCTGTAATCTCAGCTACTGGGGATACTGAGGCATGAGAATCGCTTGAACCTAGGAGGCAGAGGTTGCAGTGAGCTGAAATTGCACCACTGAACTCTAGCCTGGGTGACAGAACAAGAATTTCTCAAAGAAAGAGTTTTCTTATATATGTCTATGTGAGTTTTGTATATGCTATTTCTATCTTTGTCTAAAAATCTTTTTAAAGTAATTTAAGATGAATTTCTATGCAGCCTTTCTTTTCTTTAAAAAATAAAATTCTACCTCTAAATGTCTAAGATAGCATACCAATGGGCTGTGATTGTCATTAAGGATTTAAAGAAACAAACCATGAATTAAGCATGTGGGAGGGAAATTTTATCATTTTGGGGAATTACTAAAAGTCAGAAGACTGAGTAAGAGCCCAAAAGGGTTGGGAATTCTATGTAGGGACTGAAAGCAGGGAGATTATAATGTTTGCTTATATACTATGACTCTTCATGTTTTGTCTTCAGCCATCTGAAAGAAGTCTGATAATGGAAAGGCACTCACTCTGCAGTGGCCAGGACAAACTTTGTACAAAATCTGTCATGATGAGGAATAGGAAATGAAAGAAATGGAAAGGAAGTATTCGGGAAAGTGGAGTATAAAAAGTGTGTTCCAGCTGGGTGCGGTGGCTCATGCCTGTAATGCCAGCACTTTGGGAGGCCGAAGCAGGCAGATCACCTGAGGTCAGGAGTTCAAGGCCAGCCTGGCCAACATGGTGAAACCCCGTCTCTACAAAAATACAAAAAGTAGCCAGGCATGATGGCAGGTGCCTATAATCCTAGCTACCCTGGAGGCTGAGGTGGAAAATCATTTGAACCCATGAGGCAGAGGTTTCAGTGAGCTGAGATAATGCTGTTGCCCTACAACCTGGGCGACAGATCAAGACTCATTCTCAAAAAAAAAAAAGTGGTCCAGGTCAGGGGTACAGTGACTCATGCCTGTAATCCCAGCACTTTGGGAGGCCAAGGCGGGCGATCACAAAGTCAAGATATCCAGACCATCCTGGCCAACATGGTGAAACCCCATCTCTACTAAAAATACAAAAATTAGCTGGGTATGGTGGCAAACACCTGTAGGCCCAACTACTCGGGAAGCTGAGGCAGGAGAATTGCTTGAACCCGGGAAGCAGAGGTTGCAGTGAGCCGAGATCATGCCTCTGCACTCCATCCTGGCAACAGAGCAAAACTCTGCTTCAAAAAAAGAGTGTGGTCCAGTTATGGGAGGGAACTGGAGAATTTACAAGCATTACAGTAGGAAGTTTTTCCTTAGTGGAACTGCAGGTAACATAGTACCTTAAGAAATTTGAATCATTTTGCTTATATACTTAATCTGTGTCATTTCTGGCAATGTTATCTAACTTCCTCTTACCCCAATTAAATTTAAAAACCACAAATTAGGCCAGGCATGGTGGCAGGCACCTATAATCCCAGCTACTCAGAGGCTGAGGCACGAGAATTGTTTGAACCCAGGAGGTGGAGGTTGCAGTGAGCCAAGATCGCATCACTGTACTCCAACTTGTGTGAGAGTGAGACTCCATCTCAATAAATAAATAAATAATAAAAACCACATATTTAAGTAAAACAAGGTGTTTGATAATGTTGAGATCAATATGAGAAGAGTAACATTAGAAACAAAGTGTTTTTTTGAGATGCAATCTCTCTCCGTCACCCATGCTGAAGTTCAGTGGTGAGCTCGCTTCAACCTTCACCTCCCTGGTTCAAGAAGTTCTCCTGCCTCAGCCTCCCAAGTAGCTGGAACTACAGGAGCCTACCACCACGCCTGGCTAATTTTTGTATTTTTAGTAGAGACAGGGTTTTATCACATTGGTCAGGGTGGTTTTAAACTCCTGAGCTCGTGATCCACCCACCTTGGCCTCCCAAAGTGCTAGGATTACAGGTGTGAGCCACCCTGCTTAGCCCTAGAAAAAGTTTTTTATTGATAATATTAAACAATGTATAGAACAGTAATATTAGGGGGAACCTGTAAAAATATAAAAGATAGAAAACATTAAAGAATGAGAGAAACTTCTTTTCTCCTTTACTTTTGGGAGGATGGTGGCTAAAAAATAAGAGAAATAGCTGTTCTTCCACTTCCTGCCTTTCCTTTTCTGTTTATTTGTTTTTGTGTGTGTGTTTTTTAAAAGTTACCCAATACGGCTGGGCACAGTGGCTCACACCTGTAATCCCAGCCCTTTGGGAGGCCAGAGGCCAAGGCAGGAGGATCGCATTAGGTCAGGAATTTGAGACCAGCCTGGGGAACATGGTGAGACCCCCCCCATCTCAAAACAAAACAAAACAAAAGAAAAACAGAAGGGAAAAGTTAAAATATAGAAAGTTGAAAAAGTAACCCAATTCAATTATTTTAAAATATGGCAAACAGTTGTTCATCTAGGTTATATAGCAATTTGTTAAAAATAACATGAAGAATTTTTTTTCCTTCTATTTCAGGATGTGGTGGCCAGAACACAAAAAGATGGGTTTCATATCTTTATTGTTTCCATTAAAACAGAGAATACAGATGCAAGCTGGAATTTGAATGGTATAGTTAAACTGCATGCATGTTTACTATCTGCATTTTCTGTATTCTGTATTTTTGTCACTGACCTGAGTCTACATTCTGTTTCAAATACAACATTCAAAAATGAATTTCTATTAATCATACATTTATTTTAGATACTTAAAATGTAACATTAAGCTCTCAATACTATTTTTTGACAGATTGAAAATTTTACTATGTTAATTTAAGAAATTTTTAAAATTTCAGACTTCGTAGTGGGATATAAAATTCTCCATTCTTTCAGGTTAAAACAATTTTCTAACGTGGAAATATGTAGGCAACATGTTAGTTGTATTTTCAAGTAGGTTGTATTCTTTGTTTCTTGAAAATGGCCATCATCAGGGGTTTAAGATTTTTATCATTTGGTAAATTTCATTTTAAAGGATCTGTCTGTAGCCTAGGAGTAGAAGCAGCATATCTGCCAGCATGTGGCTTCTGTGGTCTGTGAGGCACCCCCACCTCTGTAAGTTAGACCCTCTGTGCCATGTTAACCTGTGGTTCCTTAGTGCCAGAAAAGTAGACTCACAATAAGCAACTTTCAAGAGAATGAATGCTTTCACGTTTTCTAGAATCACTTTGGCTGACATTTTCCATAGTGGGTATCTACTGGGTCAGTAGTAGCCAGTCAGCCTGTGAGGGCCCTGGGGATTTGATATTGCCCCAATTCAGCCAGTCGGGGCAGAAACCATTGAGATGAGGTAGGTATTGCTGCAGAGGAGGTATGGTCTGGTGTACTGCATGGCCCGTGGAGGGAAGCTGGCAAGGTGGCTGCTCTGGAAAAGTGTGAGATAAGCCTTCCTTCTGGAGATGGCATCATGAGCCAGACCGTGCCAAGTAAAGGAAGCAGGGGCCCTGAGGCCATTCTGTCACCTAGCTATCTTAGTCTGTTTGTGCTGCTATCACAGAATACTTGACACTGGGTAATTTACAAAGAGCAGACATTTATTTCCCTGCAGTTCTGCAGGCTGGAATGTCCAAGATCAAGATGCTAGCAAGTTCAGTGTCTAGTTAGGGCTCTGGTATCTGCTTCCAAGATGGCACCTTAAATGATATGTTCTCACACAGCAGAAAGGATAGAAAGGCAGGAAGCACAAAAGGGGACAACCACTGTGCCCTCACAGGGTGGAGGCAGAAGAGCAAAGAAGGGCCTAAACTAGTTCCCTCCAGGTCTTTTGTTAGGCATTAATCTATCCCAAAAGGCCCCATCTCAATACCACCACAATGAGGATGAAGCTTTAATTAATTTTGGGGGACATTCAGACCATAGCACTAGCATTGTGCCTGCTTCTTTCTCAGGCATTGTGTCTTTTCTCCTGACTTCAGTGGGGAGTTTTGAGCCCCTGCTAGTTAGTAGCTGGAACTGTTGCTGAGCCCTGCATGTACTTGGCATGTACTTGGGACTGTTTTGCGATGTACTTGGCACTTGGTTTATTATTGCTGTCTGAGACAAAACCCAAACTAGATGTGTGAGTTTGGTAATTTATTCCAAGTAACGTCATGGAAGATAAAGTCCTCAGTGAGATCAGTGAATTAGCAAGGGGGCCAGTCTGAGGTTTTCTTTGGTAGCTAGGACTACTCTGCTTCTGATATGATCAGATTTGGCACAGGTTTTTAGAATGGCATATATACAAGTAAAGATATCTCTTTTTTTCTTTTTATTGTAAACTGACAATTATAATGATATAAATGTATGAGGTACAAAGTGATGTTATAATCTATAAATACACTGTGGAATAATTAAATCAAGCTAGTTAACATATTCATCACCCCAGATGCTTAACATTCTTTGTGGTGAGAACATTTGAAATGTACTCTCTTAGCAATTTTGAAACATACGGTACTCTAGTTAACTATTCACCATGTTGTGCAATAGAGCTCAAAAAAAGAAAAAGCTTACTTCTCCTCTCTGAGATTGTTTTTACCCTTGGACAGTCATCTCCCCATGCCTTCCACCCCCCAGCCTCTGTACCCACCATCCTGCTCTCCTTCTAGGCATTTGATTGTTTCAGATTCCACATGTAAGTGAAAATGTGCAGTATTTGTCTTTCTGTGCCGGACTTATTTCACTCAACACAATGTTTTCCAGTTCCATCCATGTTGTTGCAAATGACAGAATTTTCTTTTTAAAGGCTGAATGGTATTTCATTGTGTATATATACATATTTTCTTCTTCCGTTCATCTGTTAATGGACCCTTAGGTTGATTGTGTAACTTCACTACTGTGAATAGTGCTGCAGTGAACATGGGGGTGCAGACAACTCTTTGACAAACTGATTTTAGATCTTTTGGGTAAATAGTAAAGTGGGATTACTGGATTATATGGTAATTCTGTTTTTAGTTTTTCGAGGACCTTCCATATTGTTTTTTATAATGGCTGCACTAATTGACATTTTCACCAACAGTATACAAAACGTCCCTTTTCTCCATATCTTCACCAGCACTTCCTGTCTTTCATCTTATTGATAAAAGCCATTCTGACAAGTGTGAAATGATATTGGGGTTTTAATTTGCATTTCTTTAGATGTTGAACATTTTTCATATATTAATATCAGTTGATCATTTATATGTCTTCTTTTTTTTTTTTTTTTTTTTTTAAGACGGAGTTTTCACTCTAGTTACCCAGGCTGGAGTGCAATGGCGCGATCTCGGCTCACTGCAACCTCCGCCTCCTGGGTTCAGGCAATTCTCCTGCCTAAGCCTCCTGAGTAACTGGGATTACAGGCATGTGCCACCATGCCCAGCTAATTTTTTGTATTTTTAGTAGACACGGGGTTTCACCATGTTGACCAGGATGGTCTCGATCTCTCAACCTCGTGATCCACCCGCCTCGGCCTCCCAAAGTGCTGGGATTACAGGCTTGAGCCACTGCGCCCGGCTATATGTCTTCTTTTGAGAAATGTCTATTTAGGTCCCTTGCCCTTTTTTTTGTTTTTTTGAGACAGGAGCTTGCTTTGTCACCCAGGCCAGAGTGCAGCAGCAGCATCTCAGATCACTGCAACCTCCGCCTTCTGGGTTCAAGTGAGTCTCCTGCCTCAGCCTCTCAAGTAGCCAGGAGTATAGGTGCAAGCCACCACACTTGGCTAATTTTTTTATTTTTAGTAGGGATGGGGTTTCACCATATTGGCTAGGCTGGTCTCCATCTCCTGACTGCAAGTGATTCCCCCACCTCAGTCTTCCTAAGTGCCGGGATTAGAGGCATGAGTCATCATGCCCAGCCCCTTGCCCATTCTTTCAGTTGGGTTTTTTGTTTCCTTGCTATTGAGTTGTTTGAGCTTATATATTTTGGATATTAATTCCTTCTTGGATATATGGCTTGCAAATTTTATCTGTCAGTCTCTAAGTTGTTTATGTCTACTGTTGTTTCCTTTGCTGCACATATGCTTTTTATATTGATGTAATCCCATTTGTCTGTTTTGGCTTTTGTTGCCTGTGCTTCTGGCATCAAATCTAAAAAACCATTGCTCAGACCAGTGTTGTGTAGTATTCTCCCTATGTTTTCTTCTAGCAGTTTTAGAGGTTCTGGTTTTACAGTAAAGGTATCTTATTAAATTTACATAATCAAATAATTACTAATTGTTCAATACCGTATATGTGCTACATAAAAATTCAGCATTTGTTAGTGTGATTTGTATTCTTGGAGTCTTCTGGGAAATGAGCTTACATTTAAAGACTTAAGACTGACTGTTGCCGGGCGTGGTGGCTCAAGCCTGTAATCCCAGCACTTTGGGAGGCCGAGGCGGGTGGATCACGAGGTCGAGAGATCGAGACCATCCTGGTCAACATACTGAAACCCCGTCTCTACTAAAAATACAAAAAATTAGCTGGGCATGGTTGTGCGTGCCTGTAATCCCAGCTACTCAGGAGGCTGAGACAGGAGAATTGCCTGAACCCAGGAGGCGGAGGTTGCGGTGAGCCGAGATCGCGCCACTGCACTCCAGCCTGGGTAACAAGAGCGAAACTCGGTCTCAAAAAAAAAAAAAAAAAAAAAAAGACTGACTGTTAATTAACTCTCTCTTCTTCTCTCTCTCAGTTTCTCTTTCTATGATTGGGCCTCATGGATATATCTCTGCATCAGATTGGCCCCTAATGATTGTGAGTATTTCTCATCATTTTTTCCTTTTTAAAAAATGAATTTTATACCTTAAGGGCTTTGTGGTAGTAATTCCTCAGTAGCTAATGCTTTGACATGTCGTCTATTTCTGGTTCTAGAGTGACTAGAAAATGAAAGGTTGGATATCTGAATGTAGAAGTGCCAACTTTCAAGTGGTCAGAAGACTTAACTGACTAAAATTGCTTCTCTTTCTACAGTTTTACATGGTGATGTGTATTGTTTACATATTATATGGCATACTCTGGCTGATGTGGTCTGCCTGTTATTGGAAAGATATATTAAGAATACAGTTCTGGATTGCAGCTGTTATTTTCCTAGGAATGCTTGAAAAAGCAGTTTTTTATAGTGAATACCAAAACATCAACAGCACTGGACTGTCAAGTAAGTTTTGGCTGTCTCTGTAAATACAGTATGATCTAAGAATTTCCCAGCGTTTGGGAACAGAGGTGTGGGAGGCCCCATCTGAACAGTGGTTTAGTAACAGCCATATACAGATGAGAAGGGAAGCCAAGAAGAGAATGTCAGAGTAGGCCTCTGATCTGGTCTAGTATGTGTCCTCTCTTCATTATCTGTTTTCCTTCTTGTTAACTTTCCCCTCACTTTCCTCCTGGGAAAAATAAAACTCCCATTCCCTAAGGTTCAGCTTGAATTAAAACAGTACAAAGTTCTGGACAGGGAGATTTCAGGTGCTGTCAGTTTTTTTTAACATATTTCTCATTCCCACCACATCTTCTTTTCCTTCTCCCCCCGCCAAAAAAAGAAACGTTCAACTTGGATTGAAACAGCACAAAGTTCTGGACAGGTGGATTTCAGGTGCTGTCAATCCTTTTAACATATTTTTCCTTCCCCCCACATCTTCTTTTCCTTCTCCTCCAAAAAAGGAAAGAAAGGAGGTTGGCCACAGGGAGTAAACTCAGGGGTGCTGAAATGGATGGTGCCTGCAGCCTCCTTGCGCTCTCCCCACCTCTTTATTCCTGCAAAGATCTTCATATGACCAGTAGAGGCACCATCACGGTTTATACAGTGCAATATGTGAGGCAGGGAGGGCATACAGCTGGGCATCCTCAGATGCATGCCCCAGACTTCTAGAAAGTAGATTTCAAAAAAGCCAGAGAAGTAAAGGTACAGCTCTCCCACCGAACCTTTGGAAAGAAAGCAGCTCAAAGGGGTTGAGCGAGCTCAAGAGTGTACTTCTGAGTGACCAGTTACATATGATCTTGGTGCAGATTTTCAAAGGGCATGATTTTGTCTGTTATTTATTGATTGATTGATTGACAAGGTCTTGATCTGTTGCCCAGACTGGAGTTCAGTGGTGCAATTTCAGCTCACTGCAACCTTGACCTCCAGGCCCAAATGATCCGCCCACCTCAGCCTCTGGAGTAGCTGGCACTATGTGTCTGTTACTTATTTTAAAATACTCTAGAAGAAAAAATGAACTAGACTATAGATGAAACAAATTTGGCATAACATTGCTAATTATTGACGCTGCATGATGGGTACATGGGAAATTATATTGCTTTCTCTCTTTTGGGGAGTATTTGAAATTTCCCCAAATAAAAAGTTAAAAAGGGCATGTACCAAAGAATAAAGAAAGGGCAAACATCCAGGGATGTGTATTAGAGATATCACTACTCTGTAGGAAGTTTTTAATGGGGGGTGTGTGTGTATGTGCATGCATGTGTGTGCACACGCGCACACTAAACCAGATGTTGAAGGAAGGCTAGGTCTGCTGCTTCGGATTGAAGCATTCCTAATGTAGAGAAGGCAGTTCTGATAAGTTGCTGTTAGTGGTTGTAATCTCTTATTTAGTGAGGGTAAAGGGTGGCATGGACTTCAGTGAGGAGCACCAAAAACCTGACATCCATAAAGAGGTGAGAGGCCATCTGCCATCCTCAGGGAATCTAAGCTGTCCGAGATGGCACTAGAGGGCTTGGAAAAGATACCCAGACTGCTGTCAGGGTTTTTAGGGAGCCCCGTCCAATAGGAGAGGTGCCAAAAGACTGGTTAGGAGCTGATGTCCTTTCTGATTTTCCCAAGTGGGAATTCTGTGACAGGGGCTCTCTTGCCCAGCATTGATCCTGAAGCATCAAATTGAGAAAAATCATTAGAAGGATGAGAACCATTGATTGTTAGGACCCGACATGGGTACATTAAGAATAGATCATGTCAGACTAATTTTTTTTTTCTTTTGGGATGCTAGAATGACAGGAAAATGTAAACTTAGTATAGATGACTTCTTCAAGGCATTTGACGAGGTTTCTTGTGACTTCTTGTGGACAAGATGACTTGAAAACTGGTGGTGTAGCCATATCTAAAGAGTTCATGGAGATAATCACTGGTCAGTCTAGACCTGTGTTGTTCTCTGTTGTAGCCACAAGCCACATCTGAGTACTTAAGTAAAATTAAATAAAATTAAAAATTAGATTCCTCAGTTGTTCTAGCTTCATGTCAAGTGCTCAGTAGCCATAGGTGACCAGTGGCTGCTGTATTGGACAGCACAGAGGTAGACCACTTCCATCATTGCAAAACGGTCTCTGAGACAGCACTGGTCTGGAGCAATGGTTCTCATCCCTGGTTTTGCATCAGCATCACTTGAAGAACTTCAAAATGGTACCAGTGCCAGAGATTCTAAATAGCAGACCTAGGAATTGAGGGCAGTGTAGAGGCTTCCAGGCGATTCCAGTGTGCATCTAGGATTGGGAACCGTTGAGCTTGGAGGCTTTGAATGGTGCCTGTCTCACAGATTTTAGGCCTTGTTGATAGTTTATTCTAGTTGTGAATCTGTTGGTTTGTTCAACTAACATTATTTCGTGACTACGTAGACAGCATTCTCTTAAATTTTGTGGATGATGTGAGGCTGTGCCCAGTGAAGCTGATTAGGTAGATAGAGAGTGAACTCTTTAGTAGGGAGTGAATCCTTCACTGAAGTTTTCAAGTGTCAGTTGGATTCAATGACTCTTATATCAAATGTGGCTGATTAGTCTGAAGTCCAAATGTAGTTATACACAGGACACGTTGAGAATCTTGGTTGGCAGGCTTCCCAATGTACGCAAAGTGAATTATTTTACTTTTTTCTTCCTCAGCCCAAGGTTTATTGATATTTGCGGAGTTGATTTCTGCAATTAAGAGGACGTTGGCTCGCCTCCTTGTGATCATTGTGAGCCTGGGCTATGGCATTGTGAAGTAAGTGCTGGCACGTGGGAAAGATGCTGGGTCCCAGCCCATTGATTCAGTCTGCCTGCATTATGACCTTTGCGAAAATGGAACTTTTCAGTATTGTAATACAAATCCATTTGGGAAAAATCCACAAGAACACATTTTTAAAAGACTTCCACATACTTGCTATTTCATATTATTTTCCAATAAAGACCCTGAGTTTGTATTTCAATAACTTTATATAGTTAGATGAATAAATAATCAGCTTTAGGGATAATGGAAAATCTAAAATGATTCAAACAATTTTCAAACCCTTTTCTGTTTTTTAGACAGTACCATTAAGCTTTTATGGTCATATCTGAGTGTTGTAAGAGAGAGTACATTAAACACCAAGTCGGCAAAACTTCTGACTGAACCCTATCTGTCCTCTGAGGACCCTGCTTTTGGACCTTCTCCAGCATGTCTTTTCCCCCTCTGACCTGTGAATCACTGGGCATAACTATGGGAGAACTTGATTTCTTTTTTTTTTTTTTTTTTAATAAAATTTCTTTTTTTAAAGATGGGGTTTCACTATGTTGGTCAGGCTGGTCTTGAACTCCTGACCTCAGGTGATCCACCCGCTTTGGCCTCCAAAGTGCTTGGATTATAGGCATGAGCCACCGCACCCGGCCGACGAGAACTTGATTTCTATCCTTGTTGCATTTTTCACCATTCTTCCTGCTTCTTTCCTAAAACCCTGATTCCCAGAAGCTCGCTCTTCAGGCTGGATCACCTGCTGCATCTTGTGGCCACTGTGGGCTTCCAGGCCCTCCCTCATCCCTTAGCTTGTGGGCACTGACTTCACAGGTGTTATCTTCAGCATTTCATCTGTCAGAAGGCCCTGGGGTTTCAGGAGCCATGTGGAGGAACCTTTAAGTAACCTGACCTCACCTCCCTACCTCTCCTGCTCTTGGCTGTTACTGCGTTTCAGCTACTGATTCCCAGGATCGTTTTCTATACTTTATGTATAACTGTACGCTCTTCAAAATCTCAGTTTTAAGCAATCCACTTTTCAACTGTCGTCTCCTCTGTTTCCTGTTTACTTTCTCTAACATGTCAGCTTCAGTCATTTTTGACTGTACTGTGGCCTCTAGCCTTTTGACCCTGGCACGTTCCATTGTCCCGCCCATCTTACATCCTCACCTTCTTCCTTTTGGTTGGATTCCCTGGTTCAGTAGGACACTGACACCCAAAGACCCCTGCCTTTCTCTTTGTCAGCCTTCTTGACAAAACCTCAGCCTTGCTAAGTCCAGCTTTCCTTCTGCTTCAGGCTCCTACCCGAGCAGGGGAATTTGCCCAAAAAGAACCCTGGACTACACTGAGGGGGCCTGCTTTCCATTCATGACCCTCAGCTTCACACCTTCAGTGCTGCTGGCAGTTGTACTCAATCCCCTTGCCACTATTTTCTCACTCCTGTCTGCAGAAGACGATTTTACCCCTTCTCTCTCCTCAGGCCTCTCAGACTATCCCATCCCTCTCAGCTGACCTTGGGGTTTTTTTCACTGAGGAAGTAGAAGCCATCAGAGGAGAATTCCACTGCGTCTGTACCCTTAGACCCCGTTATTTCCCCCACATCTGGACCGCATGCACCACCACTTTCCTCCTCCTGATAGGCGTGGGCCAGCCCTGCCCTTGTGCCCACTCAACTGTGAGGGAAACTGCCCTAGTTTTTCCCTTTGTTCCTGGGCCTATTTCATAAAACAAAGGGCCCACTCAACTGTGAGGGAAACTGCTGGGTTTTATTTTCTCTTGCATCATCAGCTTTCCTGTCTGGTAGGTCACCACTATTGGCATCTCATTATTTCTACCATTTTTTTTTTTTTTTTTTTTTTTTTTGAGACGGAGTTTTGCTCTTGTTGCCCAGGCTGGAGTGCAATGGCACGATCTCGGCTCACCGCAACCTCCGCCTCCTGGGTTCAGGCAATTCTCCTGCCTCAGCCTCCTGAGTAGCTGGGATTACAGGCACGCACCACCATGCCCAGCTAATTTTTTGTATTTTTAGTAGAGACGGGGTTTCACCATGTTGACCAGGATGGTCTCAATCTCTTGACCTCGTGATCCACCCACCTCAGCCTTCCAAAGTGCTGGGATTACAGGCTTGAGCCACCGCGCCCGGCTTTATTTCTACCATTTTTTAAAGCAAAGCCCTCCCTCTGCCCCACGTGGCCCTCTCCTCTGCTTCTACCTCATTCACCTTTCCCCTGCGCAGCATAACTTCTCACATGAGTAGTCTGTACCTCAGCCTCCCCAGTATTGCTCTATTGAGACAGCACTTGTCAAGGCCACCGTGACCTCCCCCTGCCATATCACACGGCCCTGCTCAGCTCTTGTCCAGGTGTCCCATGAGCAGCTTTAGTCGAGGGTTGCCAGCTTTGCCTGGTTTCCGGGAGCTTGTCTTTCATTCCCTCACATCACTGGCTGGCTGCTCCTCCCCGGCCTCCTCTGCTGCACCTTCCTGTGTTCCTGAGCTCCAGCCCCTTGGTACCCAAGCTCAGGCCTCTGCTCTGTGACTCACACCCACAGGCTCTCGTCCTGTATGCATGCCTGTTTGCTTGTGAGCTAGGGATTGGGAGTTAGCAGGATTTTTAGCCTGGAAGCCTTTATCCCCCAGGACTTTTAATGAGATTCTTTCTCAAATGCCTTTTGTGTTCTTAGCACAGTGTGGGAAACATGAAGGCCTCTTGTTGAGGAACCTCACAGTTCTGGTTATGAACATCAGATACCAACAGGTGCAGTGTTGTTACTGTGAAAGGAATAGGAGATTGAGTGAATGGGTACAGGCATAAACCCTTTTTGAATGAATCCCTTCATTGTTAGCTTGCTTAACTCAACTCATAAAGTGAGAGCAGTAACAGTTCTGGTTATTTGGAGGTTCTGGTTAGTTGTTTATAATGAATCAGAATAGTTTCCTTAGATTAGGTAAATAGTCTTAATTAAAAATGAGCTATGACCAATTATTTAATTTTTTACTTATATTTTGTTTTGAAATGACTATCTTAAATATTTTTCTTAAATCAGTTTTTTTTTCTAATTGCTCTGAGGGTTTTTGAGTAGCCTAAAATGTATATGCAAAAAATTCTGATTTGCAAATATGAAATTATTCTATTTTAAATTATTAATTGCAAAAACCACCATCTTTGCATTTTATCAACTCATTTATATTTCGAAAGAGCCAAAAATGGTTTGTTTGTTTTTTTTGGAGATAGTCTCCCTCTGTTGCTCAGGCTGAAGTGTAATGGTGCAGTCTTGGCTCACTGCAACCTCTGCCTTCCAAGTTCAAGCGATTCTCATGCCTCAGCCTCCCGAATAGCTGGCACTACAGGCATGAGCCAGCATGCTGGCTAATTTTTTGTATGTTTTAGTAGAGACGGAGTTTCACCATGTTGGCCAGTTTGGTATTGAACTCCTAAGCTCAAGTGATCACCTACCTTGGCCTCCCAAGGTGCTAGGATTACAGGCATGAGCCACTGGGCCTGGCCCAAAAATGTTATTTTCACTGTTTTCAGTTTAAAGAATGAAAATTAAATTCTGTTAGCACTCCTGTTCTGGTTGAGGCCAGTGATCAGAAAGGAGGTCATGGAGTTCCATCTCCTAATGTTGTGCTCTTTCTCTGCCCAAGTAATGAGACAAGTGAATTATCTCTGAAAAGATAGACCTTACGGAGAATTAAATTAGACTCTCTGCCAGTGGCACTTAGAAGCTGGCATTTACCTTCTTAGATTTCATCAGTCTACTCTTCCATTCTATAGAAACAGTACCTGAGTTATAGTCATTCTTTTGCTTGAATTTCAGCAGCAAAATCCTATGTGACCTTTGTGGCCTCCAAATATTGCTTCACAGGCATCAGTATGGCTTCAGGTTCTAGAGAAAGAGACCCTTTGTTCCTGGGCCTGTTTCCTAAAACAAACTACTTCAGAGCCAGGAACAGACTGATGTGATTAGATAGTGACTTCCTGGTACTGGAAATGGTGCCAGTTGCTGTGTTCAGGTGCATTTTACTCACCCATGCATTTTCTTTCTGTTTCCTCTTCCTGATTCCAGGCCTCGTTTAGGAACAGTCATGCACCGGGTGATTGGACTGGGGCTTCTTTACTTAATCTTTGCAGCTGTTGAAGGCGTGATGAGAGTCATTGGGGTAAAAACTACATAATTCTACTATCATCCTTTTTTGTTATTGTTGTGAAATGTGGTTTTACTTTGTATCTCCTGAGATGAATTTTTAGGTAGAAACTTGTGGAAAAGGCCCAATTTGAACTTTTCTTCTATGAGATGTTTCCCTTTTAAAATACCTCCTGAAAGACAAAATCTAGACAGAGTGCTTGTTAAGATGATACGACTGATTACGAAGGCATCACTTGATATCATCCCAGGTGTCAGTTCCATCCCAGAAATGTTCATGGTTATTCTTTTTTTTTTTTTTTTTTAAATTATTATTTTTTTTATTGCATTTTAGGTTTTGGGGTACATGTGATGAACATGCAAGATTGTTGCATAGGTACACACATGGCAGTGTGCTTTGCTGCCTTCCGTCCCCTCACCTGTATCTGTCATTTCTCCCCATGCTATCTCTTCCCACCTCCCCACCCCCCACCCCTCCCCCATTTCCCCCCAACGGACCCCAGTGTGTAGTGCTCCCCTCCCTGTGTCCATGTGTTCTCATTGTTCAACACCCGCCTATGAGCGAGAATATATGGTGTTTGATTTTCTGCTCTTGTGTCAGTTTGCTGAGAATGATGGTTTCCAGGTTCATCCATGTCCCTACAAAGGACGTGAACTCATCGTTTTTGATGGCTGCATAATATTCCATGGTGTATATGTACCACATTTTCCCTATCCAGTCTATCATCGTTGGGCATTTGGGTTGGTTCCAGGTCTTTGCTATTGTAAACAGTGCCGCAATGAACATTCATGTGCACGTGTCCTTGTAGTAGAATGATTTATAATCCTTTGGATATATACCCAGTAATGGGATTGCTGGGTCAAATGGGATTTCTATTTTTAGGTCCTTGAGGAATCGCCACACTGTCTTCCACAATGGTTGAATTAATTTACATTCCCACCAACAGTGTAAAAGTGTTCCTATTTCTCCACATCCTCTCCAGCATCTGTTGTTTCCCGATTTTTTAATGATCGCCATTCTAACTGGTGTGAGATGGTATCTCAATGTGGTTTTGATTTGCATTTCTCTGATGACCAGTGATGATGAGCATTTTTTCATATGTTTGTTGGCCTCCTGTATGTCTTCTTTTGTAAAGTATCTGTTCATATCCTTCGCCCATTTTTGAATGGGCTTGTTTGTTTTTTTCTTGTAGATCTGCTTTAGTTCTTTGTAAATTCTTGATATCAGCCCCTGGTCAGATGGGTAGACTGCAAAAATTTTTTCCCATTCTGTTGGTTGCCGCATGGTTATTCTTTATAGAGAACATTTGTCTTTGCCATTGTGCAGCTGGTATACCTTAATATCATTCTTTTTTTTTTTTTTTTTTTTTGTGAGACAGAGTTTCGCTCTTGTTACCCAGGCTGGAGTGCAATGGCGCGATCTCGGCTCACCGCAACCTCCACCCCCTGGGTTCAGGCAATTCTCCTGCCTAAGCCTCCTGAGTAACTGGGATTACAGGCATGCGCCACCATGCCCAGCTAATTTTTTGTATTTTTAGTAGAGACGGGATTTCACCATGTTGACCAGGATGGTCTCGATCTCTTGACCTCGTGATGCACCCGCCTCGGCCTCCCAAAGTGCTGGGATTACAGGCTTGAGCCACCGCGCCCGGCCCTTAATATCATTCTTAACCCTGGATTTTAAAATGTGTCAAGTGAACAGAAAGTTAATCACACCCATACAGTACATTTCATCACTCTTTTAAGCCTCATTGTTTATTCATTTTCTCTGACTCTTGGGGACTAGCTATTTTGAGGATTCAGGAGACCCTGCTATTGGAAGAGCCAGGAGGAAGTAGTGTTCAAGGGGAAGGTAACTCTGGCTATGTGAGCAGCAGCACTTTATTCTCTAGAGAAGTGTCAGTATTTATGTCTGCAAAACCCCTAGATTTCTAGCTTCAGTTTTTTACTCTTATTTTGTGTGGTTTTTTGTTTGTTTGTCTCATTGGTTGGTTGGTTGGTTAGTTGGCTGGTTGGTTGGTTGGTTGGTTTTAGAGACAAGGTCTCACTCTGTTGTCCAGGCTGGGGTACAGCGGCACACAGTCATGGTTCACTGCAGCCTCCAGCTCCTAGGCTTAAGCAATCCTCCCATCCCAGCCTCCCGAATAGCTGGGATTACAGGTGCAGGCCACCACACCCACCTAATTTTTGTATTTTTTGTAGAGGTGGGGGTCTCACTATGTTGCCAGGCTCTTGAGTTCCTGGCTGGCCTCAAGTGATCCTCTCACCTCAGCCTCCCACAGTACTGGGATTACAGATGTGAGCCACCACATCTGGTTGCTTCAGTTTTTTGAATACATGGTTGAGGACTGAGTGATTAAGAAGCTTATTATTATCTTACCTAATCTGAAGACCTTTGTCATTTTATCTAAAATGTCTTTTGGATTAGCTGTATAAATTGGATCATAAATATTTGTCCAATAATACTAAAAAGCCTCATTCTTCTCCCTTTTGTCTTTGGTACATCTGCATTCTGTGTTCAGTGCTCTTTTAGTCTTTGAGTATATTCATTTTCACCTTTGCATAATCGTGAAGAACTCTGCATTCTTACAACAAATAAATATTTGCCAGAAAGAAATAGAAAAGATAAGTATCCCACATGTAAATACAGTATGTATATTGTGTTCCTTTGAAATTTTATATAGCTTGTTGGCACACGCCTGTAATCCCAGCTACTTGGGAGGCTGAGGCAGGAGAATATCTTGAACCTGGGAGGCAGAGGTTGCAGTGAGCTGAGATTGCACCATTGCATTCCAGCCTAGGCAACAAGACTGGAGAGCAAAACTCCGTCTCCAAAAAGAAAAAATTTTACATAGCCAACATCTTAGTGACGTTTACATATGACTAGTCATAGTAAATATCTAACATGGATCTCCCCTTCACCTTTTTTTGTGTTCCTTCACAACATGGTCAGGAAAGATCAGGAGTTCATTTCATTAATAGTCCTGGGTATTGGTTTGGTATGGAGGAGAGAGATCGAAGTGGCTGGTGTTAGTGAGGTTGGGGACATGATGCTTTTTATTTGCCATTACATAATACAATTTTATGTTGCTATCATCAGATAAATTGATGACAATTGGCACTTGTTGCTACCAAAAAACAGGTCATTTCCCTGTACTTAGGCACAATTCTCTTAGGAAATTAAATCTTTTATGTGGCTTTGTAAAGTAATGAGATAAGCTAAATTATTTTTCTTCGTCAAATGATAATTGCCATAGTGTAATGAAACTGTTACATTCAGGTTTCTCCCCCTATTTTTATCTTTCAGGGTTCTAACCATTTAGCTGTTGTTGTTGGTGACATTATTTTAGCAGTTATTGACTCCATTTTTGTGTGGTTCATATCCTTTACTGTGTCCTTCAAAATAGTTCGTTGTCTCATTAAAATCAGATTACATGTAATTTGTAATAACAAATAGAATGATAGAAAGAAATACAAGTACACATTTTTGTTACCTCAATACAAGAGTTTAGTTGAAGATGAAAAAGTAGCAATACCCCCAACAAGGAAAATATTTATTTTTTCTCTGTAGTTTAGCAGACAGTTCGTGCTCATGCTCAGTATGTGCCCCATACTGACGAGGCATGGGTGAAAAGATGTTGTCCCCAAATTGAAGGAATTCACAAGCTTGTAGGGGAGACAGATGCATAACTAGCAGCAATATAGCAGTAGTAGTTTCCATCTTAGAGAGTGCTGTGCCAGCAGGGGAAGAGAGAAGTTAATGCTGGCATAAAAATCCGGAAAGACTTCACAGAGATGGCAACATTTAAATTGAGACTGGAAAGACAAGTAGGGGTTTACTATTAATAAGAAGGGCATTAGGGAAGGAGGTATTCTAAGAAGAATTGAGGGGAGCAAATAGTTGAAGCAGGAAAACACAGGGAGACAGTGGCAGAATGTCCAGGAAAGCCTGCCTGTGGGTGGACCTGCATGGGAGAGCCTTGGCAGGCAGTTCAGGGAAGGGTGGCAGGGCACGCTCAAGAACTGAGTGCCTTCCAGAGGCAGGGACTGGAGAGGAATTGAAGCTGCACAGGTGAGTAACGTAATGAAACCTGTGTCAGAGAGAACTCTCGTGACAGAAGAAGATGACGTGGGAAAGGAGAGTCTAGAGGTAGGAAGGTGAGTCAGTATTCCTTTGCCTTTGCAGTGATCCAAAGAAAAGATGGTAAGGGTCAGAAATAGGGTAGGGGATATTGGAAGAAGAGCCCATGTGATAGACTTGCTAGCAATGGGTGGCCAGAGAAGGGAGAGAAGGCTCTGAAGAGGTCTTGCACATCTCATTTGGATGACTGGGGGCTGTGTTGCCAGTTTCAAGGCAGTGAACTTGGAGGAAGAGCTGTAATGGATGAGGTTTGAGCTGGGTTTGAGCTGCCCAAGGCATTTATATGAAGAAGAGAAATGGAAATCTCAGGCTGGGTTTGTGAGAGGAGTCAGAACTGGTGATGAGGATTGGAGGTCATCTTATGAGAGAGAAGGTTGCAGCTGCAGAATGATCCAAAGAGAACGTGGAGATCAGGGAGGATAGGAGCCAGGATGGTGCCTTGTGGGGAAGGAAGTGTGTGTGGAAGAAGCATCAGGATGAAGGGAGGTAGGGGGACCAGGAAACTGTCAAAGGGGAGAAGGGAGTAGAGGGGTGGTCAACAGTGGCCAGAGCTGTAGAGATGGCCTTGCAAGGCACGCCTGGCTTTGTCCTTCCAGAGGCCAGGATGGGCAGGAAGAGAGCAGATTCAGAGAAGGTTTAGGGGCTGCAGCCATATTACAGGAAAAGTTTTAGAAGCAGTGGGGACTCAATCCTTGAGGGTCTTCTCTAATTCAATGACTCAAGTTGAGTCTGGGAAATCCCTATTGCTTTTTTCTCCATGGGGGCACTTGTGGAAATGGGAGGAATTCTAGAGAAAATGTGACTGGCCAGAGTAGAATGCAGGGTTATGCATATCCCAGAACATTATTTGCATCTGTTTCTATTATGTTTATGTCCTCTTTGAAATGCGTTCCTATTAGATAGGTTTTATTTTTGCCAAGTTCTTTGTTTCCACTGTTTTTGATACTTACTTCCTTCAGCTTTTGACATTTTGTTGTTGTTGTTTTCCTTGTATTTTTTTTCTGTTTTTTCATCTATGTGTCTCGTAGGAAGGGCCAGAGGGCTTGGATTTCATCACTATGTCTCTCCCTTAGAAGAAAGGTCTCCCATTTTTCAGGTGAGCTAGCAAATGTAGCACTCTTCATAGGCTTTTCTGAACCCCTTGTGGGTTGTTTTCTAAGCCTGCTCTACCTATTCTTTAAATTCTCTATTTGTGAATTCTCAGTATCCTTCCAACTTAAAAAGCTTATGAAGAGTGCTATAAACCAAAAATTTCTAATTCATTGTCCTTACTCGTCATAGCAGTGATTCTTAACCTTGTTTGGGTACTAGATTCAGAGATGCCTTAGAAAATCTGCTAACAGCTGTGGAACCTCTCTTCACAGAATGCAGACACACACAAGGAGCTATGCGTATGACAGGGCAGTTAAAGACTTCCCAAATTATATCTGTGGACATCTTAGTCTGAGGAGCCTACTTAGGGAATAATAACTGATTTAAAGAGTTGTTTCTGACTGAACTTGTTTAAAAAAGCATATTCTACTTTGTTCAGAGCTACGAGTTTAGAATCCCAGTTCGTTGAATAAAATTTTAGTTAAATAAATCTGATTTTCTCAGAAAGTGATGTAGATCTCTTCCTCTGGTCTATATTTAAAAAAAATTAAAGACATTCATTTGCTAAAAATGTGAAGTCTGTTTCTCAGTTCTGCATGTGAGCAGTGTTCCAGTGATAAGATTACTCACCACAAAGGCTGTAGTCCTGCAGGACCGCTTGTTGGGGGGCTCACCTGACTTGAGAATGGGCAGGAAGTATAAACATACCTTTGCATTGGGACAGGCAGAATTACAGTGGAGATGAACCTGCCTGTTGACCTCATTTTATCTTTAGATCTTAGTGTCTTACTTTCTGTCATTGTGTGTTTATAAAATGAGCTGATGATATCTGTTCAATATAGAATTGTCTTGTTTCTAAAATTGTTCATGCTTGGAACTTTAACAAGTTAGGGAGTATGATCTTTTATTCAGTTAATTTAAGCTGCAAACTGCATTTTTTAAAAGTTGAACTATCATTTCTCCTGGTAATTTATAGATATGTATTTCAAAGATTTCTTGTTCTTAACCATCCACAAGATAGTTCATTGGGGAAAACACTCAGTAATGCAGCCTGGCAGAAAATTCCAAAGAAAAGCATCTCTAAAGGTTCTAATCCATCTGGATTTGAGTGAGGGTAATTATCACCTTTATGGGCAGCATTGACTTTCATACATCCCAGTACCTGATTAACCAGATTGGGATAAGAAGATAAGGAAAACAGATGAAAGACTTAGTTTGCTTAATTATGAATATTTATAATAAAAATGTTTCAGGAAATAGTCAAAGAAATCTATAACATAAAAGATCTTGTTTAATGTTTCATGGTGAGACAAAGGAAGTCTAGTATCTATTTCTACGTAAACCTGAATTTATAAAGTTTGCTTTTAGATTACTGTTTGGTAATTTTCATCACTAAAATGAAATGTCTGCTTCCTCTATACAGAAAGATAGCAGATTTCCTGAATGATTATAAATGACAAGAAAAAGAAGTAGAACTAAATACATATACAATTGAGTGCTTTGGAAAATGACCTTGCTTCCTTTGATTTTGATGAACTTAATATAGCCAACCCTCTAAGAATCTAATAAAGTCTTAGGAAAAAAGTAAGCTGAAAAATTCAAAAGCCGTAGCCTTAGCCTTTCTCATGTGGCCCCTCCTTCCCTTTTTTCCTGCTTGTTTCTTTTTCTTTCTTTCTTTCTTTCTTTTTTTTTTTTTTTTTTTTTGGTTGCTGTTTTGCTGCAGGCAAGTGATTCTGATCTTGTTCTTCTGGCCAGCCTCCCGCTCTCTCTCCTTGACTCTGGCTTGTGCTGGTGGATATCCTTTTCCTACCACAGCAGCGCTTCTCACTTCAGCATCAGGAGGCCTATTTGCTTTCATGACTACTTTCCTTCTATGACAGGAATGATTTAAACTTTACCTAAATTTAACAATGTCTTGGTAAGTGAAAGCTTAAGCAGTTTAGAATTTGCTTTTGATCTTTTTATTTCTTAGCTTAAAAACATTTTTTAAAAATTATTAAGCCAGACCAGATTTTTTTATAGAACAAAATAGAAAATTGGTTTTTATGGAAAATTGGTTTTACAGAAAATTGGTTTTAGTCAAGAATTTTAAAAAGTACATGTTTTGATATATTTAAGGAATAAAGTATATTTGCATTTTTAAAGTTCTGATAGTAACCTGAATAAGTTGGATTGTGTTACTTTAGAAATTGATCCCCTTTTGTAACTCGTTGGTCATTTAGAAAGATTAAAAAGTAGTTTTGTACAAAAGTAGCTTTAGTACTAAAACATTTGATTAATGGCATATTTATAACTTTTAAAACTTGCCACTTCCATTGTATTGCTCAACTCTGTTATTTTTAGTGTTTGGTTCATAAACAAAGCTTGTTGGTCTGCTCCAGAGAAAGGAATTCTCATTTAAGAGCAGAGAGAGCTGGCTTGAATTCTGCTTCACTGCCGAGGAGTCGATGGAAAAGTCTCTTTTTGCTTCTTTATCCTTGGCAATGTTGAACTTTACCTGATCCCTGTGCTCCTGGAAAACAGCCAAGATTAAGACATCCCCATCCAAACCCTCTCCCCTATTTGTGTTCCGAGAAAAGACTTACTGCAGAGAACCCCCTTCCTCATTGGACTTAGATAAGATGCCTGGAGGCCCCCTTGTCTCCCTGTGACAAGGCCAGGCACAGACCCTGCGATTTATACCACTAATCGATCTGAACAAAACACTGACTGAACCAAACTGTAAGTATTCTCCTTCCTCCAGGCCATAAACGTTGACTCACCGTCAGCCTGAGCCAACACACGGCCCTCCTTAGGGGCCCTCCCAAGAATCTGCACATCTCAAGAAAAGACATTCCCTGATCGGTGTGTCTGGTCCCACCACTCACTCCCTATACCTGCTGCCTTCTTGCCTTGTTTGCTGCTCTCTATAAAAGAAAAACTCTTTTCTGCCTCACCTTTGAGACTCTTGCAGATCTTATAGTCATAGTAGTCTTCCTATTGTAATAATCCTCCCCCATTACAGTCGTCTTTCAAATAAAGTCCTTAACTAAATCCAGATTTGTTTTCTCTGACGTATTTCAGATTTTTAATTTATAAAATGGAATTGGTAGATGACCTAACTTCTTAATTATGGTTATTCAAAGAATAAAATGAAAATAGACTAGAAAGAACAAAATAAGAAATAGAGCCAGAAAAGCACAAGCCAAATGGCATGTCAAAATGGAATCTATAACAGCCTGGACAACAGAGCAAGACTCTGTCTCAAAAAAAAAAAGAGTGTCTCATTCGGAGGGGTTTTAGTGAATGCACTGCTCTATCCCATGTTAAGGGAGCGTGGCATTGGTAGAACACATCATGGCTCTTCTGTGTTTTTTCCTTGGAATTTGTTTTCTTAGTTCAGACAATGGTAAATTGTAAAAGAAAATCTGTGGTAAAGTATCATGATTGGCTGAGGTAACATTTTCTGTGTTTTTATTAGCTTCAAATTTTAGGAACTGTATTTAGTAGTACTGACTTGGGAAACATAGTAGAAGATTCTTTTCGTTGTTTTTTTTTTTTAACCACTTATTATTACTTGAAATGTTTTTCCTTAACTTTTTTCACATTTTTATAAGTTTGGCACAAACTATGAAGACTCTAAGGCTAAGAAAGAACACTGTGAAATTTTCATTATATAGGCACTTTACAAATACTCTGATCTTTGCCGTGCTGGGTAAGCTATTTAATTTTTCTTATAATAAATTATCTTAGTATTGTTATGTTCCTTCAAAGGTGACTTTTTGTGTGTGTTGCAGCTTCTGTAGTATTTATGGTGTGGACAACCAAGACATTTAGAATTGCAAAATGCCAATCAGTAAGTATAATCTTTCTATTTAAACAGTTGTTATTTTTATTTGTACTATTTTGTAGAATTTTGAAGAATTTAGTTTATGCTTATAAACAGAGGTGATTAGTGGAGATTTTCTTTCTACTTTGAACTATTTTTTGCAGAGTTACAAAAAATTTTAACTCCTCCAAGTGAGTTTGAAAAAGTTCCTCCTCAATCTCCTTTTCCTATTATGCTTTTTCTCAAGTCCTTTTTATATATTTTGAAAACAAATTATCTTCCTATATGCCCTAACAGGAAATTCTCTTCTTCCTGCACACCATGAAATTGAGTGGTTTTGTATGTAGACGGGACTTGAAATCTTAAGACTGCCTTGTTTCTAGGTTCATGTGTTCAGGATGGGTATTCGAGAGATGTTTTCCACGGACTCTCATGTTGGAAGAAGATACATTTCTTAGACTATAAAAGGTCCTCTTAAGATTTGGAGCTAGTCTCTAGTGCTGTATAAATAATCACAAAAAGCCCTCTGAAAATCCAGAGCTTTTGCTGCCTTAGAGACAATTTAATGAAAGAAGATTCTGGACCTTCTGAAATTTCTTTTTTCTCCTTCCCTTACCTTAGTATTTGCCACTTGAAATCCTAAGTATATGTTTTGCATTTTTTTGTTTTTGAGATCTTTCTATTAACCCAAAACTTTTATGGCAGGGAATATTTGTAATATTAAACAGCCCTTTAAAAACATTTTGAACAATGTAGGTTTCTTGAAAAAATACATGCTTGCTTGTTTTGAAGGCTTATAGGTTTCTTGAAAAAATATGTGCTTGTTTGTTTTGAAGGCATACTTGGAAAGATTTCATTAGCACTTATCATTGTACACTATTTGAATGGGAAACCTGTATAGTTATCAGAAAATTAACTTTTCATGTTTGAATTGTCCTCATTTTAGGATTGGATGGAACGTTGGGTTGACGATGCGTTTTGGAGCTTCCTTTTTTCACTTATCCTTATTGTAATCATGTTTTTGTGGAGACCATCAGCAAACAATCAGAGGTACCTAACATAGGAAACTTCAAGTCGGCAAGCATTTGTCGATCACCTTCTATAGTGTCAAGAACACATTTATAGAAACCAGGGGAGTAGTCCTTGCTTTGAAGGACTATATAGTCAAGTAGGGAGATAAGCAAAACAAGTGCAAGACAGTGGGTATAGACTAGTCTGGGGTAAGATGGAAGAGGGATGAGGAAGACTTTTTGAAAAGGCAGCACTTATATTACACCTTGGGGAAAGGAATAGGACAAGAAATGACTGAACTAGGAAAGAACGTCCATTTTCTGGGGTGGTGGGAAAGGCATGAGATACTTTGGAGACAGTGAGACATGCAGTTTGGTTAATACCACGTGCTTATACTGGAGAGAGATCAAGTTGGAAAGGAGAGGTGCAGCCAAAATGGCAAAAGACTTCAGTGTCAAGTTCAGAAAGTTGCACTTAAGACTGCATGTGGTGGGAAGCCTTACCTTCCTTGCTTTATCCCTCTGCCCCAAGGAAAAAACTTAAGTTCTTGTCCATTCTTTAGGAGAAAATGAAAAAGTATATATAGATTGAATATCCTAAATCCAGAGTGCTCCAAAATCCAAAACTTTTAGAGCACTGACAGGACACTCAACAGAAGTGCTCGTTGGAACATTTTTAATTTCAGATTTTCAGATTTGGGATGCTCAGCTGGTAAATATAATGCAAATATTCCAAAATCTAAAAACATCCAAAACTCTAAACTCTTCTGGTCTCAAGCATTTTGCATAAAGGCTACTCAACCTGTATCAGTATGTGTGTTTCTCCTGTCCTTTTTAAAATTATACATTTAACATATATACATACTTACATATACCTGCTGTTCTGTACCTTCCTGTTTAAAATATATCTTTCTGGCCAGGTGCAGTGGCTCATGCCTATAATCCCAGCACTTTGGGTGGCCAAGTGGGTGAATCACTTGAGCCCAGGAATTGGAGACCAGCCTGGGAAGCAAGACGAAACCCCGTCTCTACAAAAAAATGCAAATATTAGCTGGGTGCAGTGATGTGTGCCTGTACTCCCAGCTACTTGGGAGCTGAAATGAGAGGATGGCTTGAGCCTAGGAGGTGAAGGTTGCAGTGAACTGAGATCATGCCACTGCTACTACACTCCAGCTTAGACAACAGAGCCAGACCCATCTCAAAAAAACAAAAGTATCTTCCCATATCAGCTTATATAGAACTATCACATTACTTGTAATGGCTATATGGCATTTCATAACATGAATGTAAATGTAACCTAATATATATAAGCAGTCCCTGGTTATTATTTTGTTTAAAAAATAGATTTCTGCTATTATCAGTCACGTTTTTAGAATACTGTTGGACATCATCTTGGCAAACTTTTGTTAGTATAATGTAAGGTAAATGAATTTTACTTTGACGGCTATTGCCATATGACCCTACAAAAAGGTTGTTTTGATTCACACTTTATCAGCAGTATTTTGATCTTAACCACCTAGGAAATGTGGCCCAATCAATGGGCCTTATTTTCACCAATCAGATTAGCAACTTTTGTTTTTTTAGGGAGTAAACCGACAAGTGGTAGGCAGAGAGGTAAGCCTGACATAGAGAAAGAAAGAGCAGAAAGTTCCCTTCCCTTAGCTAAATTGCTTGGCAGAACGATTTTATCCACTTACGCTTTTACAAGTGGTTTGAGAGCTCTCGTTTCACAATTTCTTCACGATAATTCTAGCTAATTTGAAAGTAAAATAATTATGTTTTCATTATTTTAAAGTATAAGAAATGTTTTACATGTAGATTTCTTATATGATGGCTTTTAGATATAAACTGAAAATTGAACAAGCTTAAACATACTAGTAAAACTACTACTCATTTTTGCTATAGATATGCCTTCATGCCTTTAATAGATGATTCCGATGATGAAATTGAGGAATTCATGGTAACTTCTGAAAATTTAAGTGAGTAATATGTTTTCTTTTTAAATGACTGCTGTACATATTGTAACAGAAATACTGTACCTTTACTCAAGGTCACATACATTGTTTTTTTCCTATAAAATATTTTTAAAACTTTCTCTTCAGAAACCCTATTTTGGTAGACAATAACAAAAAGAAAAGTCAGTGATGAAATTTTCAAGACATTAATGTAGTTTGAGCTTTTGTTACTCATTTGAGCTTGTTACTCATTTCATAAAATGTTGAAATAGTTACACTGTTTTTCATAAGAGTGGTTTGGTATATATTGTGCTTAGCTGCTAAATAATGTTCATCTTGATGATTGTTGAGTTTCTTTGAGTTGCATCTTCTTGCTCTTTTTAAAGTATGTACATCTGTAATTTCTGGTCATGCCTAAAGCATTTCTACTTATGGTTTTAATGGTATTTTCATTCTTTCTATTAATTGCTACATAGCATTTTGTCATTTTATTGATTTTATTATAATCTAAGCATCTGTTAAGGCAACATCAATAAGTAACTCAGATGTTGAGGGTAATTTTATCTTTGTTTCTTTTTTTTGTCATATTTGGCTTCTTTTAGTAACATTCTTTTTCACTTTTTATTTTGGTTCTCTAATACATCAATCAAATAGAAAACAGGAAAATAAATAGAAAAAGTCATCAAATCTAAAAGTAATTACTTTGAAAAGATTAGTGAAAAATGGTTTAACCCCTAGCTAGTCTAAACCAGAAATAAAAAGAAACTAGACCCTTGATTAATGTGGGGTTAGGTATGCCAATCTCCTGAGTAGTTGAAAATCTCCTTATAACTTTTGACTCTCCCAAAATTTAACTACTGGTAGCCAACTGTTGACCAGAAGCCTTACTGTTAACATAGTTATCACATATTTTGTATGTTATATGTATTTTGTACTGTATTCCTACAATAAAGTAGGTAGAGCAAAGAAAATGTTATTAGGTAGAAGGAAAGGAGAGTCAGGAAAGGCACACATATATGGTGTAATTTTTATTGAAAAAAACTCACATCTAGGTGGACCCGGGCAATTCAAACCCATGTTGTTCAAGGGTCAATTGTAGTACAGTAAGACAAACTTATAATGTTGGAAATGATAAAGAGGACATTACTACAGTAAAAAAGGTAAATAAGGGAATATTGTGAACAACTTTATGGTAATAAATTGGGCAATCTGGATGAGACAGACAAATTTCTTGAAAAATACACGTAACAACCCAATCTTAATTCTAACCCTGTGCCACTAAGTCTGAGTAGTTCTTGGTCTATTAAAGAAATTTAAAATTTTTTTCTTTAATTTAAAATCTTCGTGTAAAGTAACAGGCTCAAATGGATTCACTAGTGAGTTCTTCCAAATACTTAAGGAAGAAATATTCTAATTTTACCAAAATCTTTAGAATATAAAGCAGGCGGGAGTATTTTTAAGGCCAGCATAACTGAAATGCCAAAGTCTAACAGACAGTACAAGAAAAAATTATAGACCAATATCATTAATGAGTGGACACATAAAAGTTATTTAAAGATATTAGCTTTACGGCTGGGCGCGGTGGCTCAAGCCTGTAATCCCAGCACTTTGGGAGGCCGAGGCGGGTGGATCACGAGGTCGAGAGATCGAGACCATCCTGGTCATCATGGTGAAACCCCGTCTCTACTAAAAATACAAAAAAATTAGCTGGGCATGGTGGCACGTGCCTGTAATCCCAGCTACTCAGGAGGCTGAGGCAGGAGAATTGCCTGAGCCCGGAAGGCGGAGGTTGCGGTGAGCCGAGATTGTGCCATTGCACTCCAGCCTGGGTAACAAGAGCGAAACTCTGTCTCAAAAAAAAAAAAAAAAAAGATACTAGCTTTACGAAAGAAGACATACAGGAGGCCAACAAACATGAAAAAATGCTCATCACTGGTCATTAGAGAAAAGCAAATCAAAACGACATTGAGATACCATCTCACGCCAGTTCAAATGGTGATCATTAAAAAATCTGGAGACAACAGATGCTGGAGAGGATGTGGAGAAATAGGAACACTTTTACACTGTTGATGGGAGTGTAAATTAGTTCAACCATTGTGGAAAACTGTGGTGATTCCTTAAGGACCTAGAAATAGAAATTCCTTTTGACCCAGCAATCTCATTACTGGATATATATCCAAAGGATTATAAATCGTTCTACTATAAGGACACGTGCACACGAATGTTCATTGCAGCACTGTTTACAGTAGCAAAGACCTGGAACCAACCCAAATGCCCATCGATAATAGACTAGATAGGGAAAATGTGGTACATATACACCATGGAATATTATGCAGCCATAAAAAACGATGAGTTAGTGTCATTTGTAGGGACATGGATGAACCTGGAGGCCATCATTCTCAGCAAACTGACACAGGAGCAGAGGATCAAGCACCACATGTTCTCACTCATGGACGGGTGTTGAACAATGAGAACACATGGACACGGGGAGGGGAGTACTACACGCTGGGGTTCGTTGGGGGGAAATGGGGGAAGGACACAGGGGTGGGCAGTTGGGGAGAGATAGTATGGGGAGAAATGCCAGATATAGGTGATGGGGAGGAAGGTAGCAAATCACACTGCCATGTGTGTACCTATGCAACAATCTTGCATGTTCTTCTACATGTACCCCAAAACCTAAAATGCAATTTGAAAAAAAAAGGTATTAGGAAATAAAATCTAGCAAAGTATAGAAAGACAGTCATGATCAAGTGGACTTTATCCCAGGGTTGCAAGACTGTTTTAACATTCCAAAAATTACTCAATATAATTCATCATATTAAAACAGTACATATAAGGCTGGGTGTGGTGGCTCATACCTATAATTTCAACACTTTGGGAGCCCAAGGCAGGCAGATCACCTGAGGTCAGGAGTTCAAGACCAGCCTGGCCAACATGGCAAAACCCTGTCTCTACTAAAAATACAAAAATTATCTGGGTGTGGCAGTGTGTGCCTGTAATCCCAGCTCCTCAGAAGGCTGAGACAGGAAAATCGCTTGAACCCAGGAGGCAGAGGGAGGTTGCAGTGAGCCAAGCCACTGTACTCCAGCCTGGGTGACAGAGCAAGACTCTGTGTCAACAAAGAAATAAAAATAAAATAGTACAAATAAAAGAAGAATGAAGAAAAAAAATGACGTAAGTATCTCAGTGGATGCAAATAACAAAAACCTCAACAAACTAATTCTAAAATGGTATGAAAATACTCTACAGGTAAAATTCTATTTAGTGGTTAACACTTTCCTCTCAAGATTAGGAATCAAGTGTAAGGATATCTACACATCACTTTGATTCTGCGTTGTATGGGAGGTCCTGTTCAATGCAGAGAGGCAAAACAAAACTCCAACAAATGTAAAAGAAGGAGCATGTGGAAAGGAAGAAATAAAACTGTGTTTATTCTCAGGCAACAAGATTATATGTGGAAAATCCCAAGGAGTCTACAGAAAAGAAAAAGTAGAGTAGAACTAATAAATGACTGTGACAGTCATAGGGTACAGGTCCAATTTACAGAAATCAGTTGTTTTTGTACATATTAACTGAAACTGTTGAAGGTAAAGTTTAAAATGTTATTTACCGTACCTTCAAAAATAAAATATTCAGAATAAGTTTAATGAAAAATAGTGTAAAACCTCTGCAATGAAGACTATAAAACAATGTGAAGATAAATTTTAGAATAAGTAAATGTAGAGATAGATCATGTGTCTGAAATGGAACTCTCAATATTAAGCTGTCAGTTTCCCAATCTGATAAGTAGATTCAGTGCATTCCCAATTATAATTCTAGCTGATTTAAAAATACATATATAATGGTTAAGTTGATTCTAAAATGTATATGGAAAAGCAAAAGACCTAGAAGATCCTTAACATTCTTGTAGTTACAACATGAGTGAACCTAGAAAGCGTTATGTTAAGTGAAAGAAGCCAATCACAAAAGACTACATACTGTATAATTTTGTTGATATGAAAAGTCCAGGCTGGGCACAGTGGTTGATGCCTGTAATCCCAGTACTTTGGGAGGCCGAGGAGGGCAGATCACCTGAGGTCAGGAGTTTGAGACCAGCCTGGCCAACAAGGCAAAACCCCATCTCTACTAAAAGTACAAAAATTAGCTGGGCTTGGTGATGGATGCCTATAATCCCAGCTACTCAGGAGGCCAAGGCAGGGAAATCACATGAACCCAGGAGGCGGAGGTTGCAGTGAGCCGAGATTATGCCACCGCACTCAAGCCTGGGCAACAAGAGCAAGACTACATCTCAAAAAAAAAAAAAAGAGAGAGAAAGAAAGAAAGGTCCAGAATAGGCAAGTCTATAGAGGCAGAAAGTAGATCCGTGGTTGTCAGAGGTTAGAGGACGGGGAAAGTAGGGAGTGACTGCTAATACGTTTGGGATTTCTTTGTGGGGTGATGAAATTTTCCAAAATTGGATAGTCGTGATGATTGTACAACTCTGTGAATATCTCAGAGTCTACTAACTATACTTCAGTATGGTATGTTAATTATATCTCAATAAAATAAAATAAATGGATACTGATTTTAAGACACAGTGATTTCAGATTACAGCAATCCAGACAGTGTGGTATTGGCATAAGGATAGAGAAATCCACCAAGGTATAAACCCACGCATGTGTAGTCAGTTGATTTTTGACTAAGTAACCAAGGCTTACATGAGGAAAGGATAATCTTTTTAGTAAATTGTACTGGAACAACTGGATAAATGTGTAGAAAAAAAAAAATCACCTAGACTTTTGCTGCACATCTCACAATCAGTAATTCAAGATCGATCACAGACCTAAATGGAAAAAGCTTCAACTGTTACTCTTCTAGAAGAAAACAGGAAAATATTTTAATGATATTGGATGGACTAATTTCCTAGGACACAAAAAGCAGTAACCATTAAATTTAAAAATGAGACTTTATCAAAATTAAAAATCTATGCTCATCAAGAACAATTTAAGAAAATAAGGCTAACTGCAGCAGGATATTCTCAATACATATATATCTGACAAAGGTCTTACCAGAATATAAGTAGAATTTCTGTAAATCAATAAATGATAACCCATGTAGCAAAAAATGAACAGAAGACTTGTGTAGACACTTCAGGGAAAACATAGGAATGGCCAATAAACCCACTGAAAGGTGCTGGATATAATCGGTCATCAGGGAAATGCAAATTAAGACCATAATGCAAAGAGCTACCACACATCTGCTACAGTGGTTAAAATTAAAAAGTCTGATAGTATGAACTATTGGAGAAGATGTGGAACAGCTGGCTCTCTCATACAGTACTTAAAGGAATGTAAAGTAGCATGACCTCTTTAGAAAGCAATGTGACAGCTTCTTATGATGTTAAGCATATACTTACCTTACAGTCCAGCTGTTCCACTCTAAGGTTTTTACCCAGAAAAATGAAGCAGATGTCTACAGAAAGACAATAATGTTTATAGCAGCTTTATTCTTAATAGTCCAGAACTGGAAATAACACAATTATCTACGAACAGGTGAAAAGATAAAGTTGTGGTATATCTGTACAATGGAATTCTTTCCAGTAATAAAAAGTAACCAACACTCTATAACATGACTAAATCTCAAAATTGTTTATATCCCATGAAAGTAGCCAAATCCAAAAGTACATAGACTCTCTATACTGTGGTTCTATAAATGAAGTTCTTGAACAGGCAAAACAAACTATAATGATTATCTAAATCAGAGCAGTGGTTGCTTTTGGTGAGGTGGGGATGGGTTGGAAAGGAACTTAAAGAACCTTTTGTGATAATGGAAATGTTAACTGTATGAATTGGCATGGCAGTTACTCAAGTGTATATATTTGTCAGGTTTCTTCAACTATACACCTAAAATTTGTATATATTTTATATATTTATATGTATATATGTATATACACACACACATATATATACACATGCACACACACACACACACACACACACACACACACTTCAGTGTTTAAAGATCACTGTATTCCCCATCTAAGATAAATGTTGGGGTTTCAAATATCCCAGGAAAACTTTTTTTTTTTTTTTTTTTTTTTTGAGATGGAGTTTTGCTCTTGTTACCCAGGCTAGAGTGCAATGGCGCGATCTCAGCTCACCGCAAACTCCGCCTCCTGGGTTCAGGCAATTCTCCTGCCTCAGCCTCCTGAGTAGCTGGGATTACAGGCACGTGCCACCATGCCCAGCTAATTTTCCGTATTTTTAGTAGAGACGAGGTTTCACCATGTTGATCAGGATGGTCTTGATCTCTCGACCTCGTGATCCACCCGCCTCGGCCTCCCAAAGTGCTGGGATTACAGGCTTGAGCCACCGCGCCCGGCGGAAAACATTTTTTGATTGAGGAACTTCATCTTCATTTATTACATCGGCTTATGTTATAATTATCCTAGTTTATGGAGAAGCAATATTTGCAAATTAGTGTAATAACAAAAGTGACTACTTACTGGGCATAGATTGTGTGTCAGGCATTTAATATGTGCTAACTTGTTCAGTGGTTACCAGAACTCTATGAAGTAGATGCTATTATTATACCCAGTTTATAGTCAGAAACACTAAGTCACAGGAAGTTAATTGCCTTCCCCAAGATTCCAGTGAGGCAGTCTACTTCCAGGACACAGGCACTTAGCCTTTGCTCTACTGAAACTGCGAACATACAGATCCTTGGTCAAATATGAAAGAAGTCTTGATCTTTCCCATCGTCTTTATGTCTTACGCACATTTCAAAATTTGTACATCAGGGATGTAAAGCATACCCAAAGATGTGTTTTGTTCTTGAGTATATCATGAAACTGAAGATTTTTAAGTCCATAAACTTTAAAATAATTATAGTAAAGGAAATATGTGTGCATGTTTACTTTTAGAGGAGTTTGTTTAAACTCCTCTGAAACTAGGATTCAAACAAGAAACTTGAAAACCTGGTGATTCTGACAAACAGTTGTCAAAAATCTGTGAACTTTTTTCATATAACTTTTCTACATTTCCAAATGGTAAGTTCTGCATCTGCCTAAAGTTTCCACTATTAACCCTCCATTTTTTAAAAAAAAATGTAATTTTTTTCTTATTAAGTTGTTAAATTTCTAAAGGAAAATACTATTTTATGATTTTATATATATGTTTATAATGTCTCTT